ACCAAATCTGATCTCACTCTGGTTGAAATGTGTAGGAAATCAGATTTTTAAAAAAAACATTCTTTGAAAATGTGATTCAGATATTGAAATAAACACAAACCATGACAAAATCACACCTTAGTATCCTTTCCAAGGTATGGGTAAGGCCAGATTTGTCATGCTACCAAGTACTTAGTCCGAAACATCTGCAACTATTCCAGCCTTTGATGGATATTTTGAAGGTTGTCAGCTGAAGTAGAGTCAGAAAAAATATACCTTGTTTATAGGGGATTTATCACACCTTCAAATATGCTTTTTTATTGACATAATACTACATAACCTTTACGATGACAGTAAATTAGTGTTGGGCATCACCATATATTTTGTTTGTTTGCAGCAAGTGACTCTGTGACTTTTGAACTTTTGGCTGCGCATGCAGTTTTAAAAGGCGGATGCGAGGTTAGTTCAGTGGAAACAGAGACACGACAGAAATGGTGTAGGCAGCAAATAATGATATGACTGAACAACAAAAATATCTTTCCAAATACATCTTGGTTTTGCAGGTCTGAGTTATCTAAATAGGTTTAAAACCATTGCACCTGCAGAGATGCGGCAAGTCCCCATTTTACAGGGCCTATTTTTTCTGTATCTACACTAGCAACACATCTGTCCAAATAGCTCTCAGAGGCTGGACTAGAGACAGATGTTTTGGTCTACCAGTATCACTACTGACTTTTACAGATTTTTCCATGATCTAAAAGACAGAAATAGACACGTACATGAGAAGCAAAAATCCAGCTACTTTGTTTTTAAGTATTAATAAGATGTAGTCTAAAGAATGAATCTGCTAAACAAAAGAATTTTGACCAGTTCAGGTACACCTACTGGCAGTTTTGTTATAAAAATAATCATACACTGATATCAGACAATTTCAATAGATTAATACTAATTTTGCCCTTGTACATTTTGAATGTTCTCAAAATTAAAGCAAATACTCATATTAAATATTTTTCAATAGGGTTCATCCTTGGGTGATTATATTTAATTCTACCAAGTTTCGTTCAAATTAGTCAATAATTGTGCCTTCTAAAGTTTTACAAACTCAAAATTAAATATGTTTTGCAGAATAAGGGAATTTGTTATATTTGAAATTATAGGGATCATAGTTGGGTACTTTTCACAAAGTTTTTGTAAAGAATTGTGCCTTATAAAGTGTTTATGGCAAACATAAATGGGTTATACCAAGTTCATGTGGGTGTATAAAACAAACCACATTCCAACACCATTCATGCAGAGATTAAACATATAAACTAGAAATTAACATTTTTTGAATATCATCCTAACTCATCCATTAATCAGAGTTTTATGCTAATTAACATTTTGTACTATAAAAGACAGGAAATTTCAGTAGAATTTCATTCAACAATAAACAACCAAGATGAGTATATTAACAACTTCATTATTTTTGATAGTATTTATCAGTATGCTGAACTTCAGTACTGAGTTCCATATTGAAAATCAACACAAACTTGATCATCCACAGCAATATAGGATTCGAAGAGGCTTTCTGGATGATATTCCTGTAGTTGGTGATGCTACTGATAATATTCCTGTAGTTGGTGATGCTACCAATAATATTCCTGTAGTTGGTGATGCTACTGATAATATTCCTGTAGTTGGTGATGCTACTGATAATATTCCTGTAGTTGGTGATGCTATTGATGATCTTCCTGTAGTTGGTGATGCTACTGATAATCTTCCTGTAGTTGGTGATGTTGTTGATAATATTCCTGTAGTTGGTGGTCTTCTCTGAGTAGTACAGATGTGGATTCTGAGCCTGTGAGTATTTCCTTCTATATATTTATATCTATGTATCTTTGGATATTGTCATAGACAATCTATTCCTTCTGAAAATGGTTGGCTTTTTCAATCCTAAATACCTAGTTCTTGTATCTAAATATTTTCTTATGTGCTAAAAGAGCTTGATTTCTGTTTTGTTATAATAATAACAGAAATGACAACACATTCCATCGTTTGCTGTGATAAATATTCTCTATATATATTCTCAAAGTTAACTGTTTTTATTTTCAGACTACTGTAACCAACTAGTTAGAACAGAAACAAAGAATAATAAAATATTATAATAAAACATTGTTTCTAATTTACACCACACTGGCCATCTATCTATTATTTAGATATTGAAATATTATAATTCTATAAATGTATCTTAGAAAACATCAAATATAATATTTACCATAATAATAGAATAAATTTGATTTGAGGTTTTTTTTTTATGTTTGCTGCCACATATATAGGCTACATTATGAATATTCATTTATTTAAATCAATAGGTTATTAAAAACATGCTCCATTATACCTCATCTCTGAAAATGTAAATTCATACATGTAAATATGTTGCAGCAAGAATAACAAAAAAAACACACAATCAGTTAAATTTTTCTATCTATTTTGATCTTTTCTAAATCCTAATGCAAATAATGGACTATATCCGTACAACATTGTTTCATGGGAAACTTTGTATAGTTTTCTATAATAGTTGGGTAATTTGATGGAATTACTGGACAAAAAATGATACAATATGGCATAATTTCTATACCATAAACCAGAAGAAATGATAAAAATAGACACCAAATAATATGCTTTCTGCCAATTCAATTGACAAAAGAAGTGCTCTGTGGGTATTGAGAACATTCTTTTTATAGCTCTTTGTAGCAATGGGTCTAAAAGGTCTGAAATTAATCCTTATTGAAGCAGATTCAAGTCTCTAAAATATTTTCCCTTCATGATTGATTTTCAGTAGCTGAAAGGGATTCTAAAGAAGGACACCTTTGACTTCTATTTGGGACATTATAATTCTTTGTCCAATGCCTGTGGTTCCTGCAATTCCAGAAAGAGTTCATAAATCAAGTTAATCCAGTTGATGTCCATTCACTGAACTAACTTGATTTACCAAATGTTCACCTCACTGTATACAAAACCAGCCATTTTATTATAAATAACGACATTTAGCGCTCTGATTTGCACAAACTCTATTTGGTTATAACTAATTAAGCAATATAAGATGTAGCGCAGAGTTATATAAGGCAACAGTGGAGCAAAATGTGAATGAGTCAGCAATGTTTAGTTAGAAATGCCGCCATCTTCTAAGGGGAGATAACATATATTAATATGTTTAGTGGTACAATCGTTTTGAATTCTCTTGCAAGAGCTAAGTCATTTCCAGTTTACTCTCTCTGGAATTTCAGGAACCACATTCATTGGACGAAGAGTTGGATTGTCCAAAGTCAATGGTGTCCTTCACATAAAACAAATAATATAAGAAAACCTCTTTACAATCCCTTTAAAGGGACAGGTGGGCAATTTTTCAGAAACATGATTTTTTTAGCTAAGCGAATCAGTACTAGTTTTCACAGCTCACCATTGAAATTTGAGCTTTCAAATCCATGTGTGTCCAGAATTATTCCTCTTTGAAAGTTAAATAGTCACCTATCATTTATAAGAGTAACTTCTAGTTTGAGTCATTTTTGAAGGAATTATGCTATTTTCATATATTTCTAGTCTTTCTGAAGAATATTTATATATATTAAAGACAACAATGACCCCTGATAATGGCCCACCCTATGATGTAAAATCAACAGCAATTCAATTACATGCTCTTGTCTATAAATAATGACTGATAGAAATGATATCACAAATCCTATTATATTCTGCAATTTTGATAAGCAAGAGTTCAACTATGATTGAGAATATATGATATATAATACAATAACATGACAAAAGTGGTCTGATGATGACACTTGTAACTTGTGTTGAAACATTATGTGACAACCAGCCTTTAAGTTCAATACCATCTAATAACATCTCATTATCTCTCCTCAAAATTACTGAGGTATAACTAAATAATGAAGCAGTTAGAATTTATTTTTTTATGATTATGGCTAATTAAAGTTGATTCATGCTAATTAGATGATTATAAAATGTGTTAGTACTGGACTGTATGAAATCAATGTTGAAGATTCAAATACAATATGGTATGAAAAATTTTGGCACATCCTGTTTGCAATAATTTCAATTTAGAATCAATGTTCAATTGAAAAGTAAAATGTCTTCTCTTGATTCACATTCATAATGTCAATAAATATTTCTTTTGTGAACAAAACAATATTATTTATAAATTTGACAATTTTTATCACATGAGATAGGCCCATTTCAAATTTACATCAACTTATTGACTAAAGCTATCATCAAATCAAATTTAACCCTTGAATTTACCTAACTTTAAGATGTTACCTAGATCCTCCAATCCATTGAATAAAAGTGTTCACAAACAGATATGAAAGATATGTCCAACTTTCCTCGTGGATTTAGACAAATCTGAGGAGTTTTTGTAATCCAATTTGATTTGATAGATTAGCTATTTTGTGCATTTGTGAGCCCGGAAGTTTAGGCTAATCGATACATTTAATCATTAATAATAATAATAATCAAAATAGATGGCTTTCTTTTGTTGTCAGTAGGGCAACCATATTGCTTAATCGACGATATCAAATTTCGCATTTGTAGACCATTACTAATCTAATCAAAATTGCACCAAATCATACTAGCAAATCAAAACCAACTCAAATCGCCAACAAAACCGCCTCTTGTATAAGATTCAGTCCAGAGGTATGTACAACTCTGTAAGTATAATTTAAGCAATAATGTGACTGAGGCTTTTGTGAGTACCTCTCAACATATTGTCCTCAGAGTTTTACACAGATGTAGGTACTTTGTTTATAAGTATAAATATGATGTAATCTTAAGCATGAATCTGCTAAACAAATATAAGAAAAGTATTCAAGCAGAGATTATTGATGATGGAAAAAATTAAAAATGCATATTTCATAAAAACACTTTTAATCTTATCCATAAATTAGTATTTCATGCCAATTAAAATTGAACCCAGAACTATAAGAGTCAGAAAATTTCAGTAGAATTTCATTCAGCAATCAACAACCAAGATGAGTATATTAACAACTGCATTATTTTTGATAGTATTTATCAGTATGCTGAACTTCAGTACTGAATTCCATATTGAAAATCAACACAAACTTGATCATCCACAGCAATATAGGATTCGAAGATATTTTGCTACTGGTGATGTTTCTAATGATGAAGTGGAATCTGGAACTGGTAGTAACAATGTTGAATCTGAACCAGTGAGTATTATTTTCTTCCATCTATGTATCTTTGGATATTTGTCATAGACGATCTATTTCTTCTGAAAATGGTTGGCTTTTTAAAACTAGATCAATATTATTTTGAACTTTGAATGAAAAGTCAGGTAATAACTTATAATTTCCACAGGAAAATATGGCCCGAAGATATTTTGCTACTGGTGATGTTTCTAATGATGAAGTGGAATCTGCAACTGGTAGTACCAATGTTGGTTCTGAGTCTGTGAGTATTTCCTTCATTATCTATATCTATGTATCTTTGGATATTTGTCATAGACAATCTATTTCTTCTGAAAATGGTTGGCTTTTTTAAAACTAATTTTCTTTTGAACTTTGAATGAAAAGTCAGGTAATAACTTATAATTTCCACAGGAAAATATGGCCCGAAGATATTTTGCTACTGGTGATGTTTCTAATGATGAAGTGGAATCTGGAACTGGTAGTACCAATGTTGAATCTGAACCAGTGAGTATTATTTTCTTCCATCTATGTATCTTTGGATATTTGTCATAGACGATCTATTTCTTCTGAAAATGGTTGGCTTTTTAAAACTAAATCAATATTATTTTGAACTTTGAAAAGTCAGGTAATAACTTATAATTTCCACAGGAAAATATGGCCCGAAGATATTTTGCTACTGGTGATGTTTCTAATGATGAAGTGGAATCTGCAACTGGTAGTACCAATGTTGGTTCTGAGTCTGTGAGTATTTCCTTCATTATCTATATCTATATATCTTTGGACATTTGTCATAGACTGAAAATGGTGGGCTTTTTTTTAATACTAAAACAAAATTATTTTGAACTTTGAATGAAAAGTTAGGTAATAACTGTATGGGAGAATATTTTAAATAACCAGGAAATACAATTTTGTCCTGAAAATTATATTTCTTGTTAATCTTTTGAATTTTTGAATGAAATAAAACATCATATACCCTGAACTTCAAGTAATATAATATAAAGCGTTAGAATGTTGTGTGATTTCACTTGGTAATGACCAGTACAATATATATTATGTTATGTCGCTAGAGTTGAAGGGTTAAACAAACCAGATGTTTGATAATCTGTGTGAACAATAGCCATGTTTTGCCTTGAAATTTGGCTTGCTTGAAGTGAACCATACCTTATTTAGTATTATAAATTGGATAATTTTTTATTTTTTTCCAGACTTCTGTATCCAATTAGGTAGGGAAAAAAAAAACAGAAATAATACAACACACAGAAACAGAATAATAAAATATTATAATAAAACATTGTTTCTAATTTTGACCACACTGGCCATCTACCTTCAAAATGATCATTACTATTACTGTCTACAGGATAGTGTCTCCATTTCCAACTGTCAAGGGCTATTAAAGTACACAGCTTGTAGCTTTATATTCCTATTTACAAACTGTAAACAGTGTTGAAAAATCATGTCTAATCAGATCATCTCAAACCTATGCCTGGATTGAAATTGAAATAGTGAGCAAGCATCTAACACACTGAGCCACCTCAGCCCTCATGAAACTTCGTTTAAATTCACCTTTTGAGTGAACTCGATGACACCTACTTTAACCAATAAAATTTCTACCCCCTCCAGCACTGGCATATTGTGACGCAATGTTAATCTGGCTAGGCCAAAAGGTTAATTCGACAATAGTTCAAGATGGCTGTCGTTAGACCCTAACTAAATGGCTTTATCAAAAATAAAAGCTAATAAAAAGACTGGATTTTATCAGTTTTTGGTACTGACAGTTGTTCATCGTACAATTGAAGAAAGTTACTAGAAATGGCTCAATTACTCATCACAAAATTACATATTCAATGTGTAATGTTTCTTTGAACTTGGTTTGGGGATCAATAGCAAGAGACCATCATATAATGGAAGGTGCAGTCTCAAATGTGTTGTCAAAGTATGCCATCCCCTTCTGTACCTCATTCACTAGCCCATCAATCATTCATTTCATTCAAAACCCTCTGTACAGTATTCTGAATCAGATGATAAAAGCAGCCCTAGATGGAGTCATGATCCCTCCTAACCAATAGCTGCCTCTCAAGGATAGTAAAAAATACTATTGAGAAATTCAACCCACCTTTTTTACCTTCTTTGATCTTCCAGCACAACACAGTGATGCTTGATTACCCATATCTATAACACATTCTATTATATATCTACCATAGTTACTACTGTATACACTTAATTATCATATACACATCAAAAAATCTCATCATCCTTATACTTCATTTCATTTCAAATTCCTTCATTTGACCCCAAAATTCTTCATAATTTAAAACAACTATATCTGTAAATGATCCAGTATCTCAAGAAGCCTATAATCTTAAGCAGATCAGCTATGTGTATCACTTTCAGATTTAAAGTCCAAAATTATGTCCTGATACAATTTTTACAACAACCATACCATAGAAATTTAGAATAGTATGCACTTGAAATAATGTCCCTTTTTATTATCAATGACCCCTTTCTAAATAATACATTTTACACTTGATCTAATCTGTAATCTCTACTTAAATCAATTTAATAATATGTAAATCAACAGATCAGTCTTGTTCAATGAAATTGATAACTGAAATCTGTCTCAAGGTCAAATTTTTTACCCTTGTTATATATAAGTATTACAGTACTACGAGAAGATATACCAAGAATCCTTTCTTTAAAGGGACTGTTGCACCATTTTGAGGAGTTGATTAGTATCTTGAATATATGTAAATAGTCTTCAGAAGTATTAGAAATGCACGAAAATAGCAAAAATTATTTTAAATATCTCAAACTAGGTATTTCTTTTCCTATTTCTATAGATGTCTTTTCTATATATGACAGAGTCTCAATAGAAGACGACTGGTCTTTTTAACTTTAAAACGCAGATAATTCTGCACAAAGCTGTGATCGAACACTAATACTCATTGGCTGAGCCAAAAAAAGTTCCCGTTTCTGAATCTAAAATATGAATGGTAGTGAAAATGGTGCACCTGTCCCTTTAATAAATAGTAACGAATGCATTCCTTACCAAGCAATTATATTCACCTGACACCACTCTGTGACAGGTTTGTCAACTCAACATCACAGAGCTATTTTATTGTGCAATGTCATTCTGATTCCTTCCAAACACAAATTTTAAAATCCTTTTTAGTAAAAAAAATTAAGAGACATCACATGACCGAAACATAAGACCTATTTCTTAAAAACCACAGTTAATAAAACAAAATATCATATCCAAACACATATAGAAGTAATAAGAATAGTATTTAAAGTTACAATAACTAATAAAACTTTATGAAAAAAAAACAACTAATCCACACAATAACACATGTTGAAAATGGACACAAACAAATTTGAAGTGTAACTAGTGAATATTATGAAAGTCATATGCATTAAGTTATGCAACTCCGAGTATTTTGACACTTTTGACAGCATTCAAAGGGTGAAATAGTTGACAACATGTCTCAGTTTTTAAGAAGATGAAATACATGCTTTATCTTCACAAGGGATGTGTATGTGCAACACTTTGTTCTAGTATAATTAATAGATATCATAATACAAATTAATCTCATCGTCATGAACACTCCGGAATACACTTACAACTAAACAAAATGACAAACTGGCACTCCAAGAATTTTGCATCAAACCTTGAACAATTTTAACTCCTACTAATGCATCTTTGAAACTTTGTTTTTATAAGATCCAAATATATTTCCCTCCAATAACTTGTAACATTGAACTCGTATTTCATATTCCAAAACTCATTGTCAACATATCAAATACTAATCTGAAATATTGGAATTTATGTCTTAAAACTTTGTAATCTTTAAATCTTTCATTTCTAAATCCATGTCCATGTTTACACATCTAAATTTCGAATAAATCTTGCAAAACCGCAGGGTTATTCATTCGGTCATTTCTCAAAGCAAATCTTTCAATTAATCTCCAATATATTACTTCAGTTATAGGTCAAAATCAACTTAATCCAAGGTAATAAAAACAACCATGTCTCCACTTCAATGATCTAAGCACTCATTAAGTACACACAAATGTGAGATCTATTGTAAATTAGGTCCACTACAATCTTAATAAACTTATGGTCTGTTAGATAGATAAGCAGTTAAAGGTATACTTTTACATTGGTATGGCGGGCATCGGTTTCAATTTACACATATTCTAATCAAAACAACTATACCTTTACATGACTAACAGGGGCGTAATTGAAATAAGTACCATCATTCTTTTAGGAATGTAAATGACTTTTAGCACAAAATGACTATAAAGTGCAAAATTTAGGGCAGAGAGAAGTCCTGTACATCTGATTTGAGCTGACATAAGTCCTGTACATCTGATTTGAGCTGACATAAGTCCTGTACATCTGCTGTGATCAGAAAGAAGTCCTGTTTATCTGCTGTGATCAGAAAGAATACCTGTTTATCTGTTGTGATCACAGAAAGAAGTTGTGATAATTTCTTAAATGGAGTTGGGCTTTGTCTTCAATCAGTCCGTTTACCGTAATTAAAAAAAAAATGAATAAATTGTATTTTATTGATATGGAATAATGATTATATATGCTAGATTTGATGGTAAACAATTATAAAAAATAATACTTTTACATTAAATAAAGCTCACACAATATAATACATAGTCATTGCAAACAAACAAAAAATCACAATATAAAATGCATAGCAAAATGCACAAGACATAAATAACATAAGTTGACTGGAAGATTGATGTAAAATTGTATTTGTTGACCTACATCAGCTTTATAGTAGACTTAAACTTATCAAATACAAGTGTAAGATTTGTCTAAGCTCTGGTTTGTTATAGACATAATATCTGTTTAAGCCCTGACAGATCTACATGTAACATTTTTCAAAGCTTAAAGCTTAGATATAACATCTGATTAAGCTCATGTTGATGTTCAACATAAATATATTAACAATCTAGATATAACATTTGTCTAAATCAAACTAACATTATGTGTAACCTTGGACCAACATCAGTAAATAGTCTACATAAAACTTAATACAAGAAAAAATTTGAAAAATAAAAATATCTAATAAATTAGACGGCAGAAATGATATACACACTATCACAGACATTAAGTTAACTACAAATATCACAGGTAGAAAAATTGTATAAAAAAAACAACTAATAGTATGTCTTATATCTATATTACCACTTTATTGGAAGGATTGTTGGAACTTTGGAAAGCGTGATTTGAATTTGGATACTGCTTTTTAGGCAAAAGGAAGAAAGGCATCATTGGCAAGTAACAATAAAAAATATTATCATTTCTGAGGTGTTTCATAGGAAGCAGGGATATTGATTTGTCAGAGAATCCAGTATCGTATTACAAACATTAGGTTACAGTATCTTAATTCAGGTTTTCTTACGAAACCTACCTAGCATTACATGAACAATTCAATTCTATTTAAATACCATAACATTTTAATGACTAATGATACACACAACTGGTTGGGTTAAAACATCTCTGTTACAATTCCCCTGTACAGCACAGCTTTGATAAACTATGATAAACTGAACAAATGGTCAACCATTAGCACAAAAAAAGTTTAAAAAACTATTTACAAACTTCAATTCAAATATAAATATTCATGAGACATATCACTAATTAGACATAAAAAAAAAAAAAAAATTCTATGTGAAGTTCAGAGTACAGTGCACATATGTAACTAATTAATAAGTTTATATACTATTTGGCCTCAAATTCACTAAAAAAAATGAATAATTAAAAACTAAAAAATGAATTAAAAAGACAGATTCTCCTCAAGTTTTGATTGGAGCATTCTTTAAATATTTAGAGACAATACATTTTTAATCAATAGGGGTGAAGTCCTCTAATCATTCAGTGTGACAGCTTAATGAACTATTTTTTTTATTACATGTATTTTAAGCACATTAAAGAATAAAATCTAATGACAAGAATCAGTCTGAAATGAAAGCTCTATAAAAGAAAAAAATTGTTACAGGTTTCTGTTATTAAGTTATCAGGAAGAACAATGAATAATTAGATGACTTCATCCCTTTAATATTCAAATTGAGCACGTAATCAATCAATTACTATATAGAACAATATGACTTGTATTATATAGGCTATATAAAGTTACATTTAAGTGAAGAATATACAAATCATCAAGAATGTTTTCGTTTAAGAATGCTATTGAAGGTATCAATACCATCAAACACATAAAACCCTGCTTTTTTAATTCAACCATGCAAAACAAAAATGATGGCCAAATCTGACAATCATAATATTTATATCATTAAATCATTAGGCACAACCATCAAATACCTCTATCACAGTTAGTTTTGATTAAAATACATCATTCCCTGAAGGTCTCAAATATGCAAAAATATTAAATATCACATCTGCATTTTTTTTTTTAAATGTAGAAAATATTAGCCAAAATCTACATCATCTTTAATAGTTTAAACATAAAACGATATACTTAATAATATTGCTAATGTCCTTCCAAAAGGCGTAGAATGTAGAAAAATATGAATAAAATCTAATATAGATATATCACAAGTAGTTTGAAACAAACATCATTTCACAAAAAAAGGCATGGGTATCTTAGAATTTGATTAATATTTTGAAATCTACATCTACAATCTACCTATCTGAATCTTTGGTGTTTTATTTTAAATGCAAACAGAAAATTAATGGTATCCTTAACAATATACAAAAATATTCATAATCTGAATAATAATTAAGACAGTGAAGAAAAAATGCATCATAATGCTCCTGACTTTTTCAAATGGTTTAGAATAACAAAACACTGGTTTCAATATATGGAATTATGTAGACATTTTAGGCTTAAAATTTCTCATAAACAAAAACAGTTGAGACAGTTGTCATAAGACGAGTTTTTTGATTTTAAGTTTGTTAACCTAGTAAAAAGATGTAGGTACTTTGTATCACAATAATGTACAGTTTTAGTATCTGTATCTCCTTAAATCTTCTCTAAATTCATGTTTCATTCGAGATGATATCTTTTTCAGCTGTTTAGCTGTTCTTGCTGCCTCAGCTAAAGCATCATCTAAATGATATCTGTCCATAATGGTATGGTCACTTCTACTTCTGTGCATATAATGACCACGCCTTGATGCATTCCGTCTGTCACCTAAGTCCATATCATCATATGATCGAGTAAACTGTCGCAATTTCAGTCTTCGCGGTTGAACATACTCCCTTCCTATAGGAATCAATCGTCGATGCTCACGGAATATGGGTTGAGATCGATTAGGTGAGATCTGGTAATTCTGCAAACGGTTGATTCTCTGTTGAACAGCATCAAGATCATCTTGAGTGACCATTCTAGGGGTAGGTAATGGTTCCACTGGGGTACCACTGTAATGTCCATCAGCGTACTGATATGGACTGTTAGCATTACCATAAGGTGGAGGATTAGCTGCCCTTGCTGGAGCAGAAGTCATTGGTGTTGGTGATCCAAATCGAGCTGGTGTAGTGCCAGAACTACCAGCATACCTTGCTTCCATTGGAGACTCAAGTAAACTGGGATGTGAGCCTCGCAGATGAGAAGGTGTTGTTCTATTACTGCGTAAATATCGAACTTCATCGAGCTTTTCCTGAATGTTACCATGGTGTGAAGGGTAGGCTTCAGCACCTTCAGGAAAGAATGGTGTCTGAGTTGATTGTTGGCTCATTGTTTGTGTCGCTGCATTATCCTGACTTCCTTGAGACTTCAGGTCCTTCATGTCTTTATAAAGAGATTTAAGGGTTTCTTTCTTAATGGATGTTTCAGAATTGACACTTTCGTTATCATCACATACACTATCACTATCTATACCATGTTGTTTTTTAATGTCCTTGACTTCTGATAAAATACTTCTTAAGAGGTCAGATCGTGAACTGCTCTTCTTTTTTCTCTTTTTAGAACCTATTGACTCCATAGAAATATCGCCATTTTGTCTTGATCTAGATCTAGGAGTTTGAGTTTGGATACTTCTTGGGGTTGCAGCAAACAAGGATTCATCTGTTTGAGTTCGCACGTGGCCGGGAGTTTGACAGCCAATATCATGCATATTTTCTGGATCTGTTGGAGCAAAATAACCTTCAATGTAGCTGTCAGTTGAACCCTCTCCATCTGAGTCATAAACTATGATGGTTTCTTTCAGATGAATAGAGGCTGATAGAGTATCATTTAGTTGGGTATCAAAGCTAGAAGCATTCATAGTTTCAGCGAACGTATCACCATATCCAGATTCCTCGCTCTCTGATTCTAAATAAGCAGCAGCTCCACCTTTACGGAAACTGTGATCATGGAAGTTACGACTGTTGTTAAACGACCTATCATGACTCTGATAAAGAGATCTATCACGACTTAAGTTCAAAGTTCTTGGATCGGTTTTAAATTGACCATTTCTGGGACTTGGAGAAAATCTATCACTACTTAAATTTAAATTAGTTCTTGAATGATTGCCATTTCCTCTTCTGAAAGGTGGTCTCTTTGGATAGGAATCATCATCACTGTCAAACGGATCAAATGGGGTGCCTCTTGATGCTAATGTTGGTGTTTGGGTTGCACGACATTTTCTTCTTGTTCGCTGCATAAAAATGATGAAGGTAAAATATTAATATCATGCAAAATACTTCAAATGTTTAAAATAAAATTACTAAATGAATATTGTTTCTAAGTCAGCAGCTTTTGAAAATATCTCTAATAAGAAATATTCTTTGATTTGAAAATTTTCTATTTCATAAAATCTAAAAAATGAGACAAAGAAAGAGATTTAAAAAAAATCTAGCAAAACTAAAGCCACACGATAAATATGATAGAAAAAAGTTGACACAAATTTCTACATGATATGAAGGTTGTATGATGATAAGTTGCATACCTTGCTTTGCATGTTTGAAAAAAAATAGAAACTACAAAAATTATTAATCTGACAAACAGGTGGCACCAACAGGGAAATTGGGGGCATCATTACATGAACATGATAGGTCAAAAATTTCAAGATTGGTCAATGGTCATACATACTGATTATCATATTACATTTTAGGTAACTACCAATCAGATTTTAGTAAATAATTCTGCTCATACAATTAAAAGTTGCAAGTTTATGCAAGTCACTGGTTGAATAATATTTCTTATAGATTTCATATGGTACCACCAATTTTTAAAATGTTGTCAGACATTTAATAATAATAAACAAACAATGCTGTAAAAAATTTAATATTTCTTCTGAGAAACCAATCAAAAGCTGCCGTTATAAGTACATAGAGGTGAAATTGTGCAGACACACTGTACTTTGTTACAAACATATTGTATTTTGTTACAGACATAAAAAGAAATGATTCAGTAGTAAACAAATAAATCAAATGGAACAGCATTGGAAATATACAAAATATTTTAGTAGGTTTTTATCAAAATAAATTTTTTTATATTTATTTATTTTTCAAGCTGTTTCTGCTTCTAAAAACAGATGATTCAGATTTTGGTGATTTGTATTCTATGTTTTAAAAGTATAGAAACTCTTTCATTACTTACAATTGATATATTTTATCCTTCATCATTTTTGTGCGAAAATTTTCCATGAAAAAATGCCGAATAAATGTTTTCTATTGCTTTGGAGTGTTACCATATATAATTCTAAACCAATCAGACATCATTAAACGAGAATAAACATGATTTTCAACCAATTAACAATGAGATTACAAATTCCAATTACAAATGAAATCAGTTATAGTATTTATTTACTAACAAATAGATAAGTACTAGGGGTGAATCCAGTATTAAGTAGATTAATTTGGACAAAAGATTTGAGACCTGCAGATCATAATCAAATAACTTGTATTGAAAGATAACAATATACGTTGTTACTATTATGTTGGTATTAGATAGTTATAATCTAATTACTTATATAAACATGCCCTCCAACTATCAACAATTTTCCAAACAAATCACATGACAGACCTGCTGAAAAATATAAAATTCAGAGCAGACGTCAATGGGCCACAGTTTACTAAACATCAAATGATGCCTAAGTTACAGCATACTGATTCTTGAAGTTTTGGTTTCCAACAGTGTATCAAAAACAATTGAAATAGATGGAATCAGATATAATTGCATATCAGATGTTTATCTTTTGAGTCAGCACCGTCTACCATAAATAAGGGAATTTTGAGATTCAGTTCATTGTCAGCCCTGAATCTCAAGCAAGAATAAGAGAATTCCATGATTCAGTCAGATGTCAGTTATCAAGTACATGTACTACAATGGTTAACAGAATTAAGAGATTTAGAGTCAGTTATCAATTTCTACCATGAGTACATGATTCAGTATCAGCTATCAATCTATTCAATGAATAACAGAATTCAGATATTCAGTCCCGTGTCAGCTATCAATCTATTCAATGAATACCAGAATTCAGATATTCAGTCCAGTGTCAGCTATCAATCTATTCAATAAAAGAATTCAGATATACAGTCCAGTGTCAGCTATCAATCTATTCAATGAATTACAGAATTTAGAGATTCAGTCCAGTGTCAGCTATCAATCTATTCAATGAATAACAGAATTCAGAGATTCAGTCCAGTGTCAGCTATCAATCTATTCAATGAATAACAGAATTCAGAGATTCAGTCCAGTGTCAGCTATCAATCTATTCAATGAATAACAGAATTCAGAGATTCAGTACATGTCAGCTATCAATTTTACAATGATATTTTTACTATATATAACAGAATTAAACAGAACAGAATTGTCATCTATCAATCTCTACAATATATAACAGAATTCATTTAAGTGTCAGCTATCAATATCTACCATGAATAAAATACCAAAGTATATAATTAAACTATCACAAGGAAATTTAATCAAATTGATCACTGACCATCTGCATAGAAACTAACTTACACAGTACCTAACCAGAGTATGTCTCCAGTTAGAAACAAATTAAAAGTGTCTTTCACCATCTTCTTTTTGACTTAAAATCTCTTCCAAAAATAAATCTACTTCATTTAAACTATAAACTTCTTCTGATATCTTAACTTAAAAATGCACTGAATCCATTCCATTTCATTATCTAGATTGATTTTTTGGGCATCTTCAGTTTATCATTAAGAAGGTTTACTTATACTTCAAAATGATATTAGAAATAAGAGAAATAGTATAATTATGTGCAAAAACAAAACATTTAAAGGACAAGGTCAGTTCCATTTTACATAAACATGGACAACATTGAAACAAGGTTAAGTACCACCAACAAAACACAGCAAATATTTGTCTGATTTGCAACATTTTTCTGATTACGCATAATTAAACAACATTTTTAAATTTCAGGATGACTTGTATACCATTTTCCATGTTTTATCATGTATATTATGTTGAAAACTCTACAACCACTGTGATGTACTGTATTACATGAAGTCATATAATAATATCATTTTTGAAAGATATAAAGGATAGAAAGTTATAGATTGTGCAAGTGCAAGGTGGCAACAAGTACATAATAAACAGCAGCAGGGAGACCTATAATTATTTTATATACCACAGGCCACAGGATATATAGTTATGTGGTAAGTCCCACTGAGTTACTTATCCCTTATCGCATTTCATACTAGAGTGACTCTTCAGTATTAAAAAGCACAAAAATGGTATGACATGTTATGCTTATTTACACAAAAAAAAACATAGCTTTGTGGTTGGTTGGACAAAGAAATATGATATAAAAAAAGTATAACATAACTGTCAAAAACCCAACACATATTTATAATTCTGAGAAGTGAAATTTTAAAGCTTAGTCGATGTAACTGGCTAAAAAAAACCGGAAAAAATGGCTGAAAAAGCAATGCTAATGAAGGTTGAATATGTAACAGAACTTTCAACGAATTTGTTGAAAGGTTACCAAAGCCTTTGCAGATCCTGAAAAAATTCCTGTACCCAGTAATGATTGATGAAAAATGAAAACCATAAACAACAAATGAATGGAACATGCAAAGCAAGTATGCAACTAAATCAAAACTATCAACCAAACTTGTACAAGCAAAGAAAAAATAATGTTGCATGCTTGACTACAAAAGTTAGGACTAATTCTAACTAGCTTTGCCATGGATGAGAAATATGTTTTCTAGTATTACTACTAATCATGCATATATTTTGAAATTTAGTCTTATTTAGAAGGTACAAGAGTTTATTTTAAGATAAGAATAGGCATGCCTAAGTAAAAAATTACAGAAGAAATTGAAATAGAAGTAAAAAAAATTCAGATAAAAACTATGAATATAAGTAACATGCTCACTGACCTGAAGTCTTGCACTGCGCTCAGTCATATTGCCATCTGATTGGTCAATTCTTTCTAGTTCTCGTACATAATTGGCTAAATCTTCGTCCATACTGTCTTGATGTTCTTGAAGGTCCCGAGCAGCATTAAGGGCATGCTCTCTGTCTGCCAATAGATTGTCAATCTGGCCAAGGAGTTCTTCCCAATCATCTTTTAAAGCTCTAATAGCTGGATCTACGATGGTGTCGTTATGGTTTGTCAGGTCACAATATTGAGACAAGAGGTCATCAATAGCTGGTCCACGACCTTCAACTTCATCTCGAATGCCCTGAAACAAAACCAACTTTGATTGAGGATATGCCAACATTACACTTCAATAGTTAGAGTGAAAAAAGCCTCCAATCTTGTGCTTCAGTGGATTAAAGCCTTAAGCATTCTTGGCCCAAATCTCTATTGCTTGGATTTGTAAGAGTAAATACAGAGAACCGTTTATCTAAAATGGCTATATGCTTGACTACCTTACTAACTCAGTTCTAGTTAAACACGGTTAGAGCTTAAAATACGGTCAAAAATTGGATCAAAATAAATGAATATGACCTCACAAACCTTTAATCTATCAATGTCTAACTCTGCAGCCTCAGAATGAAGTTTAGCAGGTCTATTTTCTAAGTCTGCTACTTCCTCTTGACGATTACGTAACCATTGTTTGAGATCAGCACGTGTTCTATCAACACCTTCCCATTGTCTCATCATATCTCTCAATCTATCCAGTCTTTTCTCAACCTAAAAATGTTTTAAGGGAAATTTAAAGTCAGCATCTCAGAAAGAAACACTGCCAGATTTTTCTGAAAATTGCTAATTCAATGCACAATGTGTAAATTCTTAAAATGTATCTCCCAATTTTGGAGATATTGGCCTACCTTTGCAATAGTTTCTTGCATATGTTGATTGACTTGTCCAGCAAACTGATTCAATGGTGACTCTAAACTGGTTTCTTCTTGATTTAAATTCTCCATGCTTCCAAGATTTTCACATGTATGAGCTGTAGCAGCTAGTTCTTGCTTTCTTTCATATAATTTCTCCAGCAAGGCCTAAAAAAATACAGAGTACTCATTCTTTGTCTTTTTCGAAGATGAAACTAAAAATTGGCAACTATAAAAGGTTTCCACAAAATAGTATGCTTTTTGTAATTCCTGTTTCTACATGTTAACTTGAAATTGAATGGCACCAGATAAGAAGAGGAAAAAATCAATGGAAATATTAATAATTGAGATGAAAATACCTGAGTTGCTTCCCTTTGTTGTTGAGCTTCATCAATGGAGTCTGGAATATTGGATTCTGCTTCCTCCAACCATTCAACCACATCGTCTGTTAAATATTCTTCAGTCTTCTCTAATAACTTTTTGTACGTCTGCCATTTCTTGAGAATATCTTGTAATCGATCCTAAAATCACAGTTGGCCATAAAACATTGGGGAATTTCTAAAGAATATATTTGTATGTTTATATTGTTCCAATTGTCTTCAGTCTGTGTTGTAAGAGATACCAAGAGTTGTCAGAAATGTTCGTGTTTCCAGTATGTGTAAAACACAGTCATGCTCCAAGATGGTGAAAAGTCTTTTCAAGACTGAAAGCCAAAGTAATTATTCAAGAAAAGTTGAATTAGGAAAGATAATCAGTAAGCCACTGGTAGTTGAAAGAAGGGATTATCTTATTATAACAAAGATTTTAATTAAGGATCACCAATTAGCTGTCCATTAGATTGAAATCTGAAGAATGTTGTTTATTATGTGTTAAAAGAGAGAAGATAGAGGGTTGAGTTGAATTATCTGTGTTTGAAAATTAAAATGACAATATGAGGTCTTTTTGAAGGAATTATGGGATATTTTGTACATTTCTCTATTTACATATATTTAAGACCGAAATGAACTTCTGAAAATGGCAAATCTGTCCGTGTATGATCATGATCAGAAGAAGATTAAGGGCATTTTTTTTTTTTAAAGAAAATCAAACAACAATTACTGTTCAACCAGTTTTTACAGAATCGGTTAACTGAAAGAAATCTTTTGATAGCAGGCAAAGCGTTAATGCCAAAGATTTTGTTGTCACTTTTGCTGCAATCTTATGTTATAATTACAATTGTCACCTGCTTTTCATTGCATTTAACACAATTTCCTTATATTTGTTATATATTTTTGGACTACCTCATGTGTTTTTTGTGTTAACATGTGAACATAAGGAGCAAACTTCAGCATAAAAATATTTATGTGTGATGCATGGATTGGTAGTTTTTAACTCACCCAAGCTTAACATCTTTAACATTTATTTTTCTTGTCACATTTTAGGGAAATTGTTTTTGGTAGAGAATAAAATTGTCTTTGGAATCCAAAAGCAGATGCTTCACTTCAACTATAATCTTTCATAAATGAAAATGCCAAACCTAAAACTAAATCTTTGGTCAAAATTTGCAATACATTGATTGATGATAAGAATTCTTTTGGAGAGCTGAGTACATTAGGTGAAGCATTAACATAAACTCCAGATTCAAAGTTGCCTCAAAATCAAGCATCTGAGAGGAGAAGATGGACACTTGAAATGGTGGATCAAAAAAATTACTCTGTCATGCATACTTGTATAATGACATAACAAAAGACAGTTATGTTTCTGAATTTCATTATTGATCCACCATTTTTTTTATTAAGACATTTTTCAAAATATGATAATGGTAAAGAATTTGGGATGTTAGGTTATAATTTTGAATATAGATAATATAACTGTCTGTTGCCATGCCACACAAAATACAAACATGCATTCATGCAATTAAAAACACAAATATTAAATTTATATTTTAATTGATATTTTGTATAAATACATGGAAAATATATAAATAAATGAATATACAATAAAAGATGAATTATAAAAAGACAACTATCACAGAAATATTATAAAAAGAAATAAAAAATTGATATTTTACTTGGACGGCAAACAAAATTATGGTTTAAAAATCATATCACAATTCACAAATATCAAAATCTATCACAATTCTCTACTTTAATATTTATTAAATATCATACTGTTATAAAATCTACATTAAATATAAATATTTACTTAAATAATTCAAAAGATTTGATCTTAAGGCAATATGTGTGACACACTATAAGACTCTTTGATTAAATTGAAACAAGTAAATGTATGTGAACTTTTTCCTTAGTTTTTTAATTAAAATATTAAAAGGAAAATTCAGGTTCAAAATTAATTATCTTGGATTCAAAATTTAAATATTTTAAATTTTTCAAAATTTGTTTATGTCCTATCAAAATCTGACTTTGTTTTCAATGAGAATTTTTTTTTCTCAATAAAAAATAAATTTGAGATCGCTTTGATATCACAGTAAGAATAACATAATCATCATAACAATGCAATATATATATATATATATATAGAAATCAAAATGAATTGAAATTGTATGTTAAAGTATGCAGTAAGAGGTTAGAACCAATCACCAGCAAGAGTATTTAGAATTATGGACGAATAACAGTAAAGAGAAGAAATTTCAAAAAACATTTTCCTTTGGATATCTAAATTAATCATTTTCTTTTTATTTGATGTTGAAATTTTCACATTATATAAAGTTGTAAGATTTAAGAGAAAATTACTTAGTAAAAAACACAATCACAAGGGAAGCATTAGCATTCAAATTACAGTTAGAAACATGAGGATAGGAATTTGGGTTTAACATAAAAAATATCATAATTTACAATTCTGTAGAAATATGTATAACTCCTGGAAATACAAATAAATATATCACGTTGTTGAATAGCACTAGAATGATAAATAATCAGAAGCAAAAATAACGACTTCAAATTTGCTACAATTCCTTTGAAGCATCCATGTTTTTCAAAAAATGATTTTCACTGATTATAAATTGTCTTTTTTCATTATCAATTTTCAACTTTTCTCTCCCACATTCCACCCTTTTTGCACTAAGACTGTTGGAAACAATCCTTCTGGTACAATGGTTTCATCAGCCATCTTGGAATTAAGCAGACGTCTAGTAGATGTAGAGTTCAATATGTTCTAAAACCACCTGTGATTGGATAATTAATGTCAATCAATCAAACTTGTAACCAATCAAACAAGACAAGCAAAGAAGCAAGATTCAAAAGCAATACAGCATCTTAAGAGATAAAAATCTAATGCCCTTTTTGTGTTGCTAGGAAATATTTTCAAAAATAGCATAGCCAATTTGAATCCTTGTTTAAATACTAACTACATGTAAAGACATTTGATCCATATTTCTTCAATTATTTATGTCTCACCAATTTTTTTTTAAATTTCAGTATGTTTGCTTTTTAATCTTGTTAGCTTAATTTAAAGAAAAAGAGAAAAAAACGTGTGAATATTAAGTTGGGTTTTTAAACAGAAAATGTTAATAAAGTGATACAAAAAGATTAAAATTCAACCAAAAACAAGAAATTAGTTTGCAAACAAGCATCAACTATTTAAACAAACAATAAACATTCATACAAACAAACAAACATGCACAACATCAAGTGGCAACAGACAGTTTCTGGTCTCCAGTCAAAATATAACCAAAGGCATGGATGGGGGCAATGAGGGTGATATAATGAAATGAAAAATGATGTGTATGGTGTAGAATGTTGAAATATAGATCACATGGGGATTAAAATATTCATTAGAAATCATTACTCCCAATTTCGCCATTCTTTAGACAATAGTTCAATTAACAGAAGTGTCTTGCTTGTTGCTTGCTTGCTTGCTTTTCACAACATTGAGCACAGTAGTCCTTATAAGAAATGTAACAAAATTGTGTTCAACTGTCAAAACTGAAATCTTGGTTTTGAAAATGTATTCAAAATTTGAGCCAAAGATCAGACGGTAACATACAGACTACTACATGTTTTGGTATGTATAATGAATGCAACAAAGCAAGTTTCTATTTGAAACACTATATAATATATAATGTATATCGATAACTTCAAAAATGGAAAATCTAAAAGGAACTAAAATATGACCAAGCGCTAAAATCAGAATTTAAGTATTCCTTCTATAAAATTTCTATAGAGACTTTCATACTGCCTTCAGAGATATAAGATTTGAATTTCTGGTCATTTATTAATCCAGATTTGGATGAAAAAGTGCTAAATGTGTAATATTGCCATATTTTTGGCTTCATAAGATAATTTAATTACCCATCATTTTGTAAAGAATTTATTACAGCCTATCAGATATATATCTTTAAATTCTAAAAAAAAATCTAAAATCATTGGATAATGGTGGATAAAACAATGATGTAGAAAGAAAACTGACCTTTATTTGTTGAGCTGTGGACTGTAAATTAACGTAACTCTGTTCTAAATTCTGTAATTGTGACTGGACTTGTTCAGCAAGTTTTAATATGTTAGGATTGTTTAGTACTAAACTTTGACCGATCTGATTGACATGATCCATGGTAGAACGGTAGTTTGTTATCTCTCGTACTATAGCCTTAAAATCAAAATTGTAACAAATTACGATTCAATATTTTTGCATAATTAAATGCACGTATACTTTATGTACAATTTGCGTTTCCAATTAATTTTAATGCAACAAATGCATGCCCCTCTGTAAACTCAAACATTCTCTATTTATTCACTAAAAATTGATCAATTGTTTTGAATTTCAAGATGAACTTTCAGATATACCATAAGTTGCTCATAAATCCAATGAAGTTATCCCAGGGGTATAAACTAAGAAATGTAATGTAATATGACTCAGATATACAGAAAAAGTGATTTCTAACGCACTAATGTTTCCTTAAGATCTATCATGAGCAGTAATTGCTATGATCGACATCATTTACGTTTTACGTTGTCGGCTTGAAGACTAAAGTAAAGATTAATAATCTATCTCTAACTAACCTTATGTTTTTCAATTTGTCTCTCTGTTAGCTCCATAGTGGAAACATTTAATGAATTGTGGGACATGAGTCGGAAGGAAGTATCTAACAACCATTTTTCACAATCTTGTTGTGTTTCGTGGAATAATAGATGTTCATCATAACGATCTTGTAACATTTCAACGATATCCTGAAAATGGAAAAGTTGTTGGGAACAATGATTTAACATAAGATAAGCATTCGAACACAGCTGTTATTACATGCTTTAATCCTTTCTTGAATCATTATTAAGGACAAAAAACCATTCGTAAGGAATTCCACATAAAACTTCAAGGTCAGAACGTGTTGATCACGAAGATTCAAAAGACAAAAGAACAAACCTGACATCTGTTTCTGACAGCCTCAAATCTCTGTTGTACATCAGACAAGGAATTGGCTATTTGTGGATTATCACACAGAGCTTGTAGATTAGCTACCCTATCAGCTAATTCATTTATCAACCTGTTATGACTCTCTATATCTGTTAATATCATCTGAAAACAAACAGAAAGTTATCTCATTATACAAATCTTTATCGAAAATATAAACATAATACTAAAATATACAGAAAGTTATCTCATTATACAAATCTTTACAGAAAATATACAGAAAGTTATCTCATTATAAAAATCTTTACAGAAAATATACAGAAAGTTTAGTCATGTTTTTATTATACAAACTTAAACAGAAAAAGATTATTGTTATCATCTAACAGAAAGTTATCTCATTATACAAAACTTTACAGAAAATATACAGAAAGTTATCTCATTATACAAATCTTTACAGAAAATATACAGAAAGTTATCTCATTATACAAATCTTTACAGAAAATATACAGAAAGTTTAGTCATGTTTTTATTATACAAACTTAAACAGAAAAAGATTATTGTTATCATCTAACAGAAAGTTATCTCATTATACAAAACTTTACAGAAAAATATCGAAATCTTTTCTTAATCATACAAAACTTACCTGGTATTTATCAAGCTGAATCTTTTTCTCAGCCAGGGTAGCTTTAAGTTCTGGTTCACTTCTTAGGAGACTTTCCTTTTCAGCCAACCAACGTACCAGGCTTCCAAAATATTCCTCATAATCATGCCAGCGTTGTTGCACACCTTCCAACATTGCCGTGACTTCAGAGATAGAACTGTTTAATTTATCCCAGTTATTAGTTAGATCTGTTACTTGTTCTTCCACCATCTTTTTACCATCCATACTGGTGTTAGGCAGGATCCTCTCAGCTAGGTCACATACATGATTGACTTTCTGTAAACCTTCATCCATATTGGCAGTAATATCCTAAAAATATCATTGAAGAAATTCTTGATATTTGGTGGTTATTAGCAAAGAGACAGCATAAGTTTTGTTTCCAAGAGTATATGTCATCACTGTAAGAAATTCTGTCATTTCCAGGTGCATTTGATCAAAAGTGATATAAAATATAACATAAAACATCACTCTGATTTTACTCAAAGGCTTTACAAAAATCACTGAACAACTAAAATACAGTACTTTTACCATACCTTAATATCATCTATTCTATCTTGGGTAGCATTCCAATCACCAGATGTGTCTTTACAAGCTTCAACTCTGTCTCTGATCCATTTCAACCATTTGTCACCATTATTCAAGGCATCATCATATTCTCTATGATCATCAACATTATCACGCAATTTACGTACCATATTCTAAAATAAACAACAAATGTTCAGCAAGACTAAAAGATTCCCAATGTATCATTAAAGTTGGAATTTGGACTTAAAAACATCAGAATGGAATTATTTTCAGATAAAAAGAATGATAAAACTTAGTTTTTGTGATGAACTACCAGATCACCTACCAGCACTGGCAATTCTGTTTGTCATCTTGGTGCGCTCTGCTTAATGTGCTCATATTAAAAGCAAACATCTTACCTTGGCCGAGGAACATAATGACTGGTATTTAGTTGATAACTGCATCATATTATTTGAGAGTCTTGGATCACTTGATCTTTGAGCAATAGCATCACCTTTCTCTCTGACTTTCTCTAAGATTACCTTATTATCAGTGATGTTATCACATAGATCCTGAAACATAAAATAGATTGCCAATTATTTTATGCTTACTTTCCCAAAAAGACTGCCAATTATTTCCTGCTTATCACTATAAATATTGGCCTCTGGTTGTTTCTTTCTTGTTATCTTAAAGATGGGTTGCCAATTCTTGTTTCCTCTCTATTTGTATTATCAAGAATAAACTAATGAAATAAGAGTGCTGACCTCTCCTCGTCTTAATTGTTGTTGTTTTTTAAACTGATTACTGGTAGGTTCTAGTTGTTCTTTAACTTCTCGTCCCTTTTTCTCAATCCATTCTAGGAAACTTTCTTGTTCCTCATTCAGTTGACTCCAGTTGGTGATAGACGTTTCTAGATTAGCTTCAACATCATTAACAGCAGAAGCAAACATATTCCAATCATCACGTAAGGATTTCACTTCCTGTTGAATGACCTCTTGACCTCTTGGAGCCGTTTGCTGACAAACTTGATTACCAAGACCTGCAGCAGTTTCTACCATTTCTTGTCCCCTTTTCAATTCAGACTTGAATTCCTGGATTTGACAAAGACACACTTTTGAATAAATTTCGGATACATTTCTGATAATCATGAGTAAAACTGTAAGGATGGGGTGCAAAAACACCCCCAAAATAACCTTATTTAACAAAATTTCACCAAATCATAAAATTAAAATAGCATTAAGCACTTCAGATGTTTGAGCAAGTCCAGTCTTTCTGAATCACCAAAAAAATCTTTTCTGGAATAAGAATTTAAAAATGTTTGGACTATGGCACAAGGGCTAACAGAAAGCAAGATGTTTCGAGTCATAACCTACCCTGAGTTGTAGTAGTCTATCCTGCAAAGTTTTCTTGTCACCAGAATAATCACTAAGTCTCTGTAATCTATGTTTATTGTTAGCCAACCAATCTAAACAGGCTATATAAGCTTTACGATATTCTTCATGCAATTCAACTTGTCCTCCCATACGACTAACTAGATCCTGAAACATTGAAAATCAACATCATAATACCTAAGCTTTCCAACTTTACTAATGAAAACTATTTTACCATAGATGTGCAGACGGCAAAAAGATTCATGTATCTATAAACAAACTAAATTCAAACAAAGGGAAAGTACTTTTCAATAATATCAATTCAGCTGTATTGGTATGTGGTTGAGGTAACAGGCTAGAAATTTTAAACATTCCCCCATAGTTTGATTGTTCTTTTGAAGCATATTAGGTCAGTCAAATACAAACCTTGCTGGCATTTAATACAGATTGATATCTGGCCTTTAGTTGAGCTACTCTAGTCTGTGGCGTAGGGTCATTAACCTGTCCTGACTTCTCTTCCAGTCTGCTCATCATATCTTTATGAGCCAAGATGTCTGCTAATAATGCCTGCAAAGAGAACATAAAAAAAGATAAGAAAACATTCATCCACGAATAAATAGACATTTGTTATGAACACTTTAAAAATCACTATCTAAACCAAGAAAATAAATAGTTACAATTGGTGGAAAAAATGGTTGGACAGAAAATATTATGATCATATAAAGCCGGTCAAAATACCTTGTATTTTTCAAGAGTGGATCGTTTTTCTGGTAGATCATTTTTCAGATCTGGATCTGCCATCATTCTGTGTTCAACATCAGTTAACCAATCATGTAGTTGATCTTGAAGTCTATCATAATCTCCCCAGTGGGTCAAAGCATTCTCTAAATTACGTTTGGCTTGAGACATCTCTGTCAGCAAGTTTTCATACTCTACTTTAGCTTTCTCTGATTCCTGGCGAATGCTCTGACAACCTCTTGGATTGGTGCTAGGTAATGTCTTTTCACAAGCATCTAATAAAGCTCTAAGATAACTGTGACCTTGATCCATTCCATTTTGGATTTCCTACAGAAAATAATTTGTCATTGTAATAATATGTTTTTCAAACTAATGGAAACTACTTTCTCTATATGAATTCAGCCCTAATATTACAATTAAATTTTTCAATACAGCTATGCTGATGAGGATTTTATATCCAAAACACAAGTTAGCAGAATGACAAGTTGTCTTGTTTGAAAATCAATTGAAGGGTTCTCCATTCTGATAGTCATAAATGTAACAGCCTTGGAATTCATCAGCATGTCTCTCAGAAGATTATAGCATCCAGAATGATAATATACTTACATCAAATTGGGACAATCTAATATTAACATTTTCTCTGTTACCTCGATCATCTTCTATAGTTTTAATCTTACGCTTAATATCTTTTAACCATTCAGTAAATACTTGTAATCTTTCTCTATAGTTAACATGATTATCATAGTTATTTTCACTGCAATGTACCAGATCCTACAAAAAACAACCACAAAACCATTTTCATTTAATAGATGTTTTATTGCTCAAGCCTACTTACACAAACTGAATTCTTATTTTCTGTTTGTTTCCAACACTGTTCGCGTCACAAAATCTCAGAGTTGAATCCCAGAAGATGCCATAAGACTTAATTATTCTAAAAATAAAAAAAATCGAAAAGTATGAGTGTCTTTGGAACAATAGTATCATGGAAGTAAGCTATGAAAAGACCTACCTTAGCTAGAGCTATAATAGATTGGTATCTAGTAGTTAACTGAGTTATAGCATGACTGGTTTTAGCATCTGCATTGGTCTGTAACAATGCCTGGGCCTTCTCACTGACATCATCTAGTGACGTCTGATGTGATAGAACTTCATCCAGATGATACTGAAAAAAAAACCCATAGAATTCATGATATAAATCAAATACAGACCTTCAATGAATTTCAACGATGGATATTGAAGTGAACAATTTGGCACTTGCAGAATGTTCAGATTCAAATAATATTCCACTAACTTCCCCTTTCAAACATTATCAAAACACCTACCTGATATTGAGTCCATTGTTGTTTCTTCTCTTCCACTGTGGATTTATATTCCATTTCAGCTCGTAAGATGGATTCTGTCTCTTTCAACCAATTATTAAAATCTATATAGCTATGTTCAAAATCTTCCCATCTTGAATGACAATTGTCCAGTTCTGCTTGAGAATGAAGTAGTTGGTTTCTGTATTCTTCAAATTCTTTATTCATAGCTTGTAGTTCTTGTCTAATCTTGGTCTGACCAGATGGTGATGTACTTGTGAGAGTAGCTTCCCCTGCTTTATTGGCTTGAGCTAGTCTGTGAGCTCCTTCATTAAGACTTGCCATCAAGCTCTAAAAGACAAAACAAAAATAAATTTACAAAATATGGTTAAATATAGCTTAATAAGTCTTCTCAGAGTAATGGAATGAACTCAATATTCAATAGCAATAAGATTGGCCCTTCTACCAAAAGGTGATTCTTAAAAGGATCTATTAGTATTCTAACCTTGGATCGTTCAATCTTAGATTCAATGGAAGTTTTTTCACCAAAAGTATCTGAGCAGGTAGCATGTTTTTCTCTAGCTGTACGTAACCAGGAGTTAAAATTATTACAAGCATCAAGGAAATCTTGATGATTAGCTACATATTGTTCATTTCTAGCTAGTAAATCCTGTAAATAAATACAATCAAAAACTTTATTTACAAACCAAATGGCAACTTCCATACATCATTTTGTTACAGTCGATTTTTCGTAAGAGAATAGTGTATTTGTATCATCTATATCATCATTCTATAAGTGTAAATGGATCTTTAACATGGATAGACTGTAACATATGAGCCAACAGACACCTGTATTCAGTGTAACGCCTTAATCAACAGCCAGTAAAGGCCCTTGCAAATTTCAACCAATTTCACCTTAAAGACAGGAGAAAATCCAGCTTTGCCCCTCATAAAGCATACAACTTTTCAAGATAGTCAGGATCTTCAACCTAACAGGAACTGCAGTTTGAAAATAATACCCAACATTGATTTATCATTTACATTAGATAATGAGCAGACAACTCCTATCTTGTTTGGTTATACAACCTTTAACACAATGAAAGAATCCACAGATAAAGGAAGAACACCTACCTTTGCCTGTTCTTTTAAAGTATTGTATTTGGTAGCCAGTGTAGAAGAATCTGATACAATTCTACTACCAGTGGCACTAGGTTCTAATTCTACAGCTTTATTATTGACTGACTCTATCATCTGTTCATAGGACACAATGTCTTGATAGGATACCTGAATATAACCAATTGACAGTCCAATTTAAATTAACCTGTATATAATAAAGTGGTAAACTAGGCCAGCCAATTTTGAGCAGACCTCTAATAACCAATCCAAATTCAAGTTTTTTGGGAGAGACTAAAATCAAATTTTCCACAAATTTCTTATTTAGTATTTGTACATGTTTCACAAAAAAATAGGTTACCTTAATTTTCTGCAATTCATTCCTCTTTTCGCTTATGTCTCCTTTAAGTTGAGAACTCTTCAATTTCTTTTCTGTTTCCTTAATCCATCTCTGAATTCCATCTAAACTGGCATCAAAATCAGTCCACTGTAGCAGACGGGCTTCCAACATGACTTTAGTATCAGTGACATCAGAGATGAGAGATTCCCAGTCTTGCTGCAGACCTTGTAAATCTTGACGTATACTCTCTCTACCATCAACTGATGTATTGGTCATAGTTTTCTCTCCCCAGTTATTGGTGGTATGAATCAACATCTGACCTTCCTCTTTCATTATTACAAATTCCTAGAAAACATTCAGTAACCATCATCAATAGTCAAATTTGTCACTAAGATATTGCCAAACTAACAGATGATTTGTCTTGCTACTTGGCCTATAATTTATTACTCTCAGAAACAAATGATATTAAAGGTGCAAATAGAAGAGACAATATAAACTTTACATTAAGTTCTGATATTTACCTTGAGTCTATCAATCTGTTTCTGTATTTTCTGTTTATCACCAGTAACATCTGTATTGATAGCTAGTTTCTCCCGAGTATTAGATAACCACTGTACAGTTTCATCATATACCTTATCATATTGTTCATGATCAGCTAAATACTGTTCATACCTTTTCAATAACTCCTAAAATACAACAATACATGGCACTATCAGCACATAGAACATACATAGGACCATCATTAGAAAATCTAAGCACCTGCAATTCCATTTGTCTTCAGTATAAAAAAAAATAAATTTTAAGATCACAAGCATTTTTTTTAATGTGAATTTTTTCTTAGGTAAATATTAGAAAAGATTTGTTCTTTGATTATGACTCTTATTATCTCTATGTAAGGAGAGCTACTCACCTTAGACTGTGACATAAGACTACTATATCTAGAAGTAAGTTGTGTCAGTTGTGTTGATAGACGACTATCAGGTGACGTCTGCATCAATAACTGAGCCTGTTCACCAAGTTTTTCGAATGACTCTTGTTCATTTAATATCTCTTCGTGTAGTGACTGAAATTATACAAGAAAGTTTGCTTTTGATTTCATTTCAATAAAAACTTACAAAAAGAAAATTAACATTCATTTGAAGCAATTAAATTGAGAATTTTTTCATGAAAAAAAAAACATGGCACTAATAAGAGAATCGCAGTCTGTAAACAATAAGTACATGTACATACATTGTAAACTAAATAATGTAATGTTATAAGTTCAAACTCACTCTCTGTTTAAGAACTTGTGAATGTTTCTGGTCTAAGGTAGCACATAAATCAGCTTCAGTTTTCATCCTGGTTTCAGTGTCTTTTATCCATTTACTTAATTCATTATAATATTCTTCATAACTCTGCCATTTACCACTCAAATTTGCTGAAATAAAATTATCAAAACATCAAATTCAATTTCAATTGCCAGAAGGTTTTGTCACACTGTAGTTTTATTTGTTGATTTCTCAGTTTCTTGTTGACCTCCCAGCAGAATGTCATAAAAGCAAGTTCAATGTATGCAGCAGACGACAAAGACTTTCCAACAGTTAGGAATGATTTGGTGCTGGGGATCAGATTTTGTACTCGGAAAATTTTGTACAACTGAACTGAAGAAGGTTTTGATGGGGCTTCTCACTTACTTTGGCCCAGCCCCCACAGACCCCAAACTAACTACGGGGCTGCTGACCACACTAAGGCTAGCCAACACATTAAGCTGACAGTAACATAGATCAAAACAATAATTTAGTTTGTACTTACATAATGAATCTAAAGATGTTTTTAAATCAGATTGGAAGTGTTCAAAATCCTTCATCAAATTATCTATTTCTTCTTGAATGAGTTTTTGACCTTGGGTAGACGTCTGAGGTAAAACTGTTTTTCCTTTAGTCAGAACATTATCTAGTTTCTTCTTTCCAATTTCTTGTGTTGTGTGGATGTCCTGCAACAAAGCATACATAGTAACATAGTATAACGAATTAATAGACAATATAGTTAGAAATATACTTTACATTAGTTTGTGATCCATATTTAAATTTATTTCTTTAGACTCTTGTCCATCTATATTTCCTATTTTGTGTTACAGTACATTTCCATTTCATAAACAGAGATCCAATCTCCAAAACTCCATAATAATCAGATACCATACAAAAATATTCAAATTATATTGAAAGAATAGTAACAACAGATTTGAAGAGATGGCACATCCCAACATGTCTAAAATCTCTAGATACACTCTTAAAGATGGCTTCCCTTATTTTCATTTATGAAAACAAAAATGCAAATAGTAAGTAGAGGTGTTCTAATGATTTGGAAGAGAATTACCAGCAGAATCCAATGAGTGACCGATTAAGTTTGTTTATGCAGACTGTACATACATGGACATTTATGATGGTTAAAACTCTCAATCATATACAATAAGAACATAATGATAAGATTAAGAATACATGATAATTCATTAGAGACACCAATTAATCAAATAGCCTGCTTAATTTGACACTAAAAATAAGGAAACCCATCTTTAAGAAAGGCATATTCTGAAAGTTAAAAACAGCAAGTAATGTGTTGTAATTACCTGTACTTTGTGAACTTGAGCTTCAATAACAGTTCTATCACCACGAACAACACTACATATACTTAATCTATCTATACTAGCTGTCAACCAATCACTAGTCTCCATAAATACATCACAATATATCTGATGATCACGAACATATTTCTCACCATTTTGTAACAAGTCCTGAAATATACAACGTTCGTGTGTATATGTGTATACAAATATCTCACAATGCCCGTACATATGTTAAAAAAAATGAATAATGTTTCATATCTAACTTTTCTGTACATGATAGGGCTCATGTAGTAAATGAATGCAGATTGCAATAAGGAAACTTTTGCATCATTAGTAAACTTATTTTCATTTAACTGTCGGTTGATCTTTAACATTCACAGTCTGTAGCACATGAAACCTCAGTTTCTTGTCCAATCCAAACAACTACTTTAAATGTCGGTCACTGTCAGAGGGAAAAAGATTGAAAAATACTGGTGGTACCATCAATGGTCTATGCTAGGATTGAACAGGGGATCTATATACAAACTAGCAAGCATCAAACTTTCTCAGTCATTGTCCTGCCACTTTCCAAAACAAAACACTTTACTAAGCCACTGTTACAAACAGAGCACATTTCTTACCTTAACTTGAGTTCGTAGTTTATCATATCTGTCAACTATCTGTTTAATCTGATTGGTTAAATTGGAGTCATGTGACATCTGTTTCAATGTTTGTGCTTTCTCATTCAGATTATCTATAGTACTCTGTTGTGCATTGATATTTAGTTGTAAAACCTGAAACAAAGTTTATTGTATAACGTCTTTATAAGTGCACAATGAGATAGTACAAATACCATATATTATGTCACAAAAGGATAAGCTTCACAATTTACTTCTGCTTTGCCTGAAGGCGGAATTTTCTGAAACAGCTGTAAAAACTCTCCACTTTATTTTTCAATAAAGCACGTGAGCTGTAACAACATTTCAAATCTTGAATTGATCAACATTTGTAAAAAGCGGTCTGAATATTTGAGAGCTAACAATCAGTCTCCATTTTTCCTTAGTAACAAGCATTACAATAAGAAAAAATGCAAATTTTCAAGTTCATACCTTAATTCTTTCTAATTGCAACTTTTTCTCTTGTAATGTGTTCTGTGGTTGGGATTCTACTTGAATTTGACCCTCGAGATCATGTAACCATCTTTCTAACTGTTCTGTACTGTCATCATAGACCGTCCATTGTGACAGGCAACTCTCTTGTCTCATTTTACTCTCATTCAGATCTGCTGACAGGGCATCGTATTCCTGTTGTAACTGTTGCATCTCTCGTCTCATGTTATCACGACCAGTAACAGACGTGTTGGGTAAAACAACTTGTAAATTATCTAAGGCTATTTGTAACATATGTAAACCTTCTTCTTTGGCTGAGAGTAAATCCTAGAAAAATAAGTTAATGAAATCACTGAATAACAAATACAGTTGAATCACAGTTGAAATCTGATGGATATTTTATACTCAAAGGATCTTTAACATGAACTACCACCTTATAAACTTAAATTATAGTGCCCTCCAAATAACTATGCACCTTGCCAATACTAAACAAAACTTGATTAAAAATCACCAGCTGATGAATGTACCAGTTCAACTCCAAAGACCTACTGATAAGTGAGCACAATTTGAGAAACTTGACTTCATAATTATAATTATATATACCTGAACTCTCGTCAGTCTCTGTTGAATTGTATGTTTATCACCATTAGTTTCTATAACATCATTAATCTTAGATCTCATATCAATCAACCAATTTTTACAATGTTCAAATGATTCACTATAAGATTGATGATCTATAACATACTGTTCCCAACGACGTATCAATTCCTGAAAAATTCAAAATGGGATACTTGTATAATCTTGACACTAGCTGCAGAAGATGTTTTGGCAGGTGAGGACGAGTCTTGAAATTTGTAATACATGTATTCATAAGCATATACCACAGCGACACTAAAGAAGATTTAGCATTTGACAGGTTTAAATCATTGTAAGGTGTCCGCAAGTTAGTTCCCAAGCAGGCCATTTGTCAGTACATTGAAGACTTACCTTGATGTTCACCTGTAGTGTCTGATATTTAGTCGAGAGCTGGGAAGCTTGACTGATAACTCTAGTATCGGTACTAAGTCGTAATAAATCTTGAGCTGAATCACTTAATGAATCCATGTCTTTCTGGTGACCGTGGATTTCTTCATGCAGACGCTAAAAAAGTGACAGTTATATTTGAAAGTATTAGTATGCAGATGATCTGAATGTCAGCAGATATGGCAGCAGTGTTTTCTTCTTCCTAAAGACAATATACAAGCATTTCAATAATAAAAAATACCTCTCGAAAACAATGAACATAAATAACAACATAATATAATAATTTATTTGATCATATCATGCTATATACATAACTCAGTAATGATGATTGGAGAGATCACAATGTTGTACGCTTCCATCTCAAGGAAAGAATTCAATTTTATTTATCATTAAATGGACAACAATGGACATGCATACCTTTAATTTATCAAGTTGAGTTATCTTTTCTTTAAGAGTTGCTTTCAGATCCACTTCTCTTATCTTATGTTCTGTATCTTTTAACCATGAAGCACATTTCTCATGCCAGGTTTCAAATTCTTTCCATTGATCCATACATTTCTCTAAATCACTCTTGGTCTGAAATTAAAAGTTAATGAAACAGTAAAGGACTTGCTAGAAACTAAGACTGCTGAGTTTATATTTCCCAATAAGCAATGAATAATTAAGAACATTTTGCATTTAAACTATTGCTAGCATTTCAAAAGCAGGTGGACTAACGATTTTTTTCTAAAATTTTTTTTCAAAAATTTGATGGTAATTGTAATCACAAAAAAACCAATTTCTAAAAAGTATCTGCAAAATTTACCTTAACTAAGGCAGTCATAAAGGCTTCCCAATCCTCTCGTAAAGCATCAGTTTCTCGTACTATGATATCTTTACCCTGGGGAGCTGTATTAGGCAGGACTTTCTCTGCTAGTTTCATTACATTATTCACTTTTGGTTCTCCTTCTAGTTTTGTGGCCAATATATCCTACAGATATACAAATGAAAGTCATTCAAAATACAAAAAAGATTTGTATTCTATTATCATCTCAATATGTAAAAGAAATATTCATCTCATTAAAAATTCAGGTTAAAAAACAAGTTATTGTTTGAACATAAAACATTAAATAAAGGTGAACTGTAGGATGCATGTAATAGAAATATACATTGAGTACTGGAACTTCAAGAGATTGTAAAGAGGTTTTCTAAATTTTATGCGTATCGGGGACAATGATAGAATCAATTTGTGCCATTCCAATTTTCAATCAGACATCTGTGGTTCTAGCAATTCTAATAATACTAAGTCTTTTATGATGTCATCCCTGCAAAGGTCCTAAAAACACTTAGTTTTAGTGAAATTACAGGAACCACAAGCCTAAAAATTGGAATGGTGCAAACTGATGTTATCAGGGTCCCCGATACATATAAAAATTTTAGAAAACCTCTACAGCATTACTACCTACATCTCTCATGAAAGCAGATTGAAACAAAAAAAAATATAAAATGATTTACCAAATAAATAAAAAAAAACTTCTACTAAATAGTGAAATCACACATAAATCATGCTTTTTGTGCAGATAGTAAAATCTAAATTAGCTTGCATGCATTTTACATATTGAATTCAGAAAAATCGGCCTTCATCTGTAATACTAATTTTTCATTTGATTTGTAAAATTTATTCTTGTTGATTCTTGAAAATATTTACTTCAGACTACAACTAATTAGCTAAAATATTTCACACAACTAATCTAAAATTCAAATTTAACGTAAAACTTAAAATTAGGAATAGGATGGAACTTACACAACGTTGCTAATAAAAATAAAACAAAATACATGCAATAAACATGCTTCGTAATCTTGTCACAAACTAATGATTTAAAATAAATACAAAAGCTATCAAATCACTGAGCAGCAGATATCTAAACTTATCAATGACAATGAAGTGTTATCACACATTTACTTGTACAACAAGTCTCAAAAACATGCCCTGTTTTTGTCATCTCTTTCAAAAAAAAAAGAACACCTAAAGCACAGCACATACATCAATGTTATTATCAAGACAACATCTAACACAATTCAAACATAAAAGTTAACACCAAGTGTAATTCTATAACTTTATAACCAGGGTAAGTTACCCTTGTTTTCAGTTTACCAGAAAATTCCACAACTGGAATTAGCCCTTGAGATTAGTGGCTGATATCATCAAACTCAGATAGTGTTACCTATATGGTTTGGTTATTTCATAATTGTTTTAAAAGCACTCCTTCAGACTAAAGAGAAGTATTATTTTTTGGTTCCATTTTGAAAGTTGATATCAAGCCTGCTTATAGAAATATAGAATACAGCTTGGTATTTACCTTCATTCCAACACCATCATGTTATTAATGTGCCAATTATAAAAACACAGATTCAAAAATAAACTTACCTGTATTTTATCAAGTCTATTCTGTATAGCATGTCGATCCCCAGAAACATCGGCACAGGCAGACAATTTCTCTCTGATACTATTTAACCATTCTACACACATGTTATAGGCATCATTATATTGTTGATGATCTGATACTAATACCTCATATTGTTGTACATAATCCTACAATTTATAAATACAATACTTAATATAAACTAACACAAATAATCTTTAACCCTTTGAACCCTGAGTGTAAATGAAATACAACGTCATATACCCTGAACTCCAAGTAATAAAAGTAAAAGCGTATGACGTTAACGTTGTATGACGTCACATAGCAACGGCCGGTATACCGGCTGGTCAGGTATATATTGCGTTAGTGTTTGGCCGGTATACCGGCCACTAGGGTTGAAAGGGTTAGCTTGTGACCTAGGCCAGTGCTTCTATAAGAGAGTATCTCTTAAAACCTTATACAAATATTACAAAATAATCATACAATTATACAAAAATTTCACAAAAACTCTTAGAACATAATTTACATGCAAAATATATACACAACAAACCAAAAAAAAATATACAAAATAAATTGTCTTTTGGAAAACAAAATAAACACAATACAACCTACAATACATTTATATAAACAATAATATCTCAAGTTATACACAAGTTATACACAAATTATACAAAATAACACAGCAATATTCGATCAGCAAAAATAAACACAATATAACCTACAATACATTTATATAAACAATAATATCTCGAGTTATACACAAGTTATACACAAATTATACAAAATAACACAGCAATATTCAATATGATCAGAAAAAATAAACCAAATAATAATAATACTGCTATAATGTAATTAATCTAATTTAAGTTCTACATATTTAACTTGCTATAACTTACCTTGGAAGCTTGACAGAGTTTTTGATAACGAGAACTAGTTTGTGATGTAAATTTATTGAGATCTGAATCTGGACTGCTGTGGACCAATGATTGAGCTTTATCTCCTATACTCTCTATAACACGTTGATAAGACAGTACATCTTGATGTAAGGCCTTAAAAATACATTAAAGATACAATTGTTTTTACTCGCTGGCGGAAATTATGCATTATGCAATTAAGTGTTGGTTGCATATTGCATCCCATTCTCAGAGTCTGCATGGCTAATGATATTAATTATGCTTCTTTTATAACCCATAAATACATTTCTACAAATCAATCTGTTAGCTTAATGCCTTATATCTGGATTAAAAAAAAACGTGTCTTTAAGCTCCACATCAGCAGTGGAATAGCTGGTAGCTCAGTCAGTAATGAGCTTCATTGTCGTCTGCTTGGTGAAAAGGTGACAAAGGTATGAATCCTATAAATATTATATTGAAGAAACATCTACCTTGAAGTTCTGTAACTGTGTTTTCTTTTCTTCTAGAGTAGACCTGAGGGGAATGGAACCATGTAACTGTAACTCCATATCGCGTAACCAATTATCTACTTGGCTATGACTATCATCAAATGAAGTCCATTGGACAAGAGATACCTCTAATTTACGTTGAGTGGCCGAGAGATCGTCATACAATCCCTCAAAACCTAGTTTAAGTTTACGTAATTCTTGTCTAATGGCTTCACGTCCCTCTGTTGCTGTGGTAGGGTACAGATGTTCACCACTTTCGATCACTTGATTCAATTTAGCAAATCCAGCATCTCTATCTCGCAGCAGATCCTGGACTTTCTCTAAACTGTCTTCTAATGCTGCTCTTGAATTACCAGTGTCAGGACAGTTGTTGAACTTGTTTCGTGATTTTGTCAGCCATTGATTACAGTCTGCTAGTTTTTCTTTAAATAATTTATGATCTTCCACATTCTGTTCACATTTCTTCACATTTTCCTAGAAACAAACAAAAACTGAAAGTTCAAAAGTGACTCTTTTATTTACTACAGTTTCAAGGATCTAGTGGGAATGATTTTAAAGAGGTTACTTAGCCATTTTCTATGTATCATGGCCACCATTAGCTTTTTGGCACCTTTTGCTGTCTGGAATTCCATAGACTAAACTTCAAGGAATGTTTTCTGATTAGATGCTTAGTTCTGAAAGGTTAAGGGAATTGAACAGAATACTGACCTTTGAATTAGTAAGTAAATTCTGGTATCTAGTTACTAATTGGGATACAAATGTACCAACTCGACCTTCGTTGGTTAAATTTTGTAAAGTCTGAGCATCATCAGCAAATTTATCTATGTCTCTTTGTCGGCCTTTGACCTCTTGTACAATTTCCTAAAAAATTCATCAAAAAATATCACAATTTTGGGTTGATAAATGAAAATCATTTGTTTAAAATGTAAATTGATCAAATTCATGAATGATGTAATGTTAAAATTCAAATGATATCATAAATGAAATTGTAACATCATAAATAAAATTAAAATTTAGTCCAAATTATTTGCAATTTGAATTAATACAGTACAAAACAATCTACATATCATTTTTGTTTTATCTTGTCATTTGCTAAACTTTGACTTCTCTTTTTTGTAAAAAATATTTGAACAAAATGGACCTCACAAAAATATTCACAATGCATATAAAATGTAAAATATGATAAATGCTTCGATAAATCCAGACTAAAATAAATACAAAGCCCATCATGCACTTGAAAAGCTGTGAAATAATCATCATTATACATAAATAATAAATTTTAGAATTATATAATATATTATACTATAAAAGCATAGTAAGAAACAGGTATGCATGCTGTTTTAAGATATGGAAACTATAAAGAAAATTTCTATATAGGAAAGCAGAAGATAAGGTTCTGTAACATCTACAACTATACTACAACATGCAATTCTAGTTCTAGGCATTCAAAGAGACTTTCCAGCACTAGTGTGTGTATCAGGGACACTGGTAGTGTATCTTAAGCACATACAAATAGTAGAAAAACCCTTTTATAATATTTTGTATTTATTAAGCCTAATCCATAACCAATTTTACATGCTTCTGGAGCCTTCCAAATCTAATGTTTTAAACTGAAACAAGACCTTAGCATAGTTAAGCATTATATAGGCTTAATCCATAACCAATTTTACATGCTTCTGGAGCCTTCCAAATCTAATGTTTTAAACTGAAACAAGACCTTAGCATAGTTAAGCATTATATAGGCTTAATCCATAACCAATTTTACATGCTTCTGGAGCCTTCCAAATCTAATGTTTTAAACTGAAACAAGACCTTAGCATAGTTAAGCATTATATAGGCTTAATCCATAACCAATTTTACATGCTTTAGAAATTCTGCCAATACAGAGGTACTATATTTTAAGCCTAATCCAGAACCATTTTTACATGCTTTAGAAATTCTGCCAATACAAAGGTACTATTATTTAAGCCTAATCCAGAACCAATTTTACATGCTTTAGAAATTCTGCCAATACAGAGGTACCATTGCATTATTTAAGCCTAATCCATAACCAATTTTACATGCTTTAAAAGCTCTTCCTATCCAGAAGTGAACAGTAGTATGAACATTCCTGTAGAAAAATCCCTAAAAATATCTTACATAATCCATCTTACTGGCCTCCTCAATTTCACCAGCCTTATTCTCAATATAGTAAAATGTTTCCTAATTTAAGAGTACATTGTAAAACATTATACATTTAAAAAAAAGCAAAAATCTACGTAATACAAATAAAAAATGTAGGTGTTGCTAATGTGGGGAAAATAAAATGTTTAACCTAGAGCTCAAAATATAATTTCAAAGCTTTGAATATCATGACTGTATAAATGACTATTCAGTTACAAACATCGAAGCATCAATATTCAAATTTGGAATCAAATTTCGTATATGAAGTTGCCATTTTTTCCTGTTTTTTGTCTGTTTATTTTTTTTACACGATGCTTTATCTATAATAAACTATTTCTAAATATGAAGAGTTCTATACTATTGAAATACGCCTGATTGTGAGTTTATTGGCAATAATTTGAGCACTAGGTGAAATCACATTGGAGAGGTATATATATATACAATTAAAGATGGATAGAGCACAAAAATAGAAAAGTATACACATCTAATGAAAACATGGAATTTCTTTACTTGAATTTCTATTAAGATAATCTGACTAAAAAAAATTTCAAGCTTACAAAAGTTTTGAACATACCTGGCATTTTCTCAAAGATTCTTGTTTTTCATCCAAAGTTGACCTGTTTGGCATATCTTTGACTTGTTTTTCCAGGTCTTTAATCCATTGGGACATCTTGGAATAGTTTTCTTCATACAGTGTCCAGTAATACAAGGCTTGTTCCAGACTATCTCGTAAAGAACTGAGTTTGATTTTATAATCTTCCCAATCAAGATGGAGGACATCAAGTTCCTGTTGTATACCTTGACGACCTTTCAAGGCTGTTGTATTCATGGTGTTTTCAGCATATGTTTCACATTCTTTGATACGATCAACTCCATCTGATAAATTGGTTACCAGTTCCTATAGAAAATATAATATTTAATATATAAGCTGGTCTTATGCACGTTTTGCAAATAAAATTCCTCACTAAAACACTAAAAGTTGAGTAAAATATTAAATTCTTAGGTCTTTAAACAAAGGAAGCTTGCATACTAATTTGGGTAGAAGTCAACAAGAAAATTCTCCAGTAAATTGGTGGAAATCTTACATACACAAATGCTTGAGAAAGAGTATAAGATCTGTATCTAAAAATGAAAACCTCCCTATTCCCCAAATAAGACACAATATGTATGAGCAAAGCAAGTAAACTCCATTACCCAGAATAGTGAACTCAGGAAAACTTTGAAATCTGCTGGACTACAAAAACTAAATTTCAAAGTATCATCTTGTGAATCAGACAGAATAATTAACCCTGAGGTTTACAAAAAATATTCACACAAATATCAACAAAATCAATAAATATCTTACACTGAGTCTCTCTAGTTTATTTTGTATAGTATGTCTATCACCAGTTGTATCACCACACATATTCTGTTTATCTTTCATATGACTTAACCAATCTACAACTGTCTGTAAACTGTCTTGATATTTCTGATGTACTTCTACATTTTCTTCTGATCTTGCTATCAATGTCTGAAATGATCAATTCATAAATATTCCACGAGTTGGTTTCAACATTTTTATGCAAGAAATTTTTGTTTCGTTTCACATCTTACATCCAAACAGTTACACTATAATTAGAAAATGAATATGGATCTTTGGCTAAATGTTTCTGCCTCAGTTTTGACAAATGAAGACAAATATTGCCATACATAGTGCAATGAGGGTTATTTGCCCTCCAACCTGCAAGAGGGAGGAAACTGAGTGGTTATTATGAAGGTATCACATCAACCTAAACCAGAATTGAATCTACTAGTCCATCAACAAAATATTATAATATTGAGTCCACAATTTAATTTTCCACTCCTTACCTTAGCATCTGAAGCCAGTTTTTCATATCGTGAGTTGATATTAGTAATAAAGGAAGCTACATCAGGATTAGAGGTAGTCTGTAATACACCTTGAGCTTTCTCTACTACAGAATCTACCATACGTTGATGAGAAGTTATGTCTTGTAACAGTGACTGAAATAAAATTTTACATTTACATTAAATCATTCTTCAACCTAGAAACATTCAGTTCACACAATGTGATGTTATTGTTAACATGGCAGTCATACTCACTATTCCACCTGATATCACTCCGCAACTGAGCTTATCAATCCCAAGCTCAAGATTCTTAATTAACCTTCAAGTTCCAATACAGAAATAACAGCAACTTACAAACTATCAGTGGTAGTACATACAGAACTAATGAGGTATATTGGTTGGAATTAATAAACTTAAAAAAGCTTTTGATCATGCTTACCCTATGTTTTTGTAGCTGGGTTCTCTTCTCTTGTAAAGTGTTCTTCATATCTACATCAGCTCTAAGAGCAGACTCAGTTTCTGACATCCATCTTTGTAAACTCTCTTGACCGTCTGCATATGATGACCACTGAATTAGGAATGTGTCAACTTTTCTCTGAGCATCATTCAAACCACTGAACAGTTGTTCCCAATTTTCTTTAGCAGTTCTCAATTCTTGTCTGACTTTTTCTCTTCCAGGGCCTGCTGTATCTGGGTACAACCTTTCACCAGCTTCAATTGAAGAGTTCAGTTTTTGTAGGCCATGTTCCTTTTCAGCAAACAACATCTGGAAAGGGAAAAAACAATGAGAGACCTGAAAAAGACTTCTGACAACCCTCTCATTTATTTAAAATGGGATTCAAACTGCACAGTTATCGTTCCTCATATGGTAGACATACACCTCTAATCTCAACTGGTCTGAGCCTCTGCTCTTACCTGTAAGACAGTCTTTTTCTCCTCCAAAGAATCCTGACTACTGACAGGTTGTTGACATGATGATAATTTCTGATCTTCTATCATTATCCATTGATTAAAATCATCAATACGATTATCATACGTCTGATGATCTATCACAAACTTCTCCCATTTATTAATCAGATCCTGAAATGTTTTGTATCAATACGTAAAGACTTTTTACTAAAGAGTGCTCTACCACACCTTTTGGCAGAAATATCAATAGAATAAGATTCCTCCAGACATATGATTGATTAGTTAAATAATAGCTGCTACAACATTGAACAGAATTATACTAATCCTAACCTTCCAAAAGTACAGTGAGAAAACAACAGACTCCAGTATTGCATTGAAATCATTGTATCATTTGAAACAAGCTTGATAAATTAACACATACCTTGACTAAAGTTAGTAGACCTTGATATCTATTGGTAAGATTAGATACTTGGGTACTAAGTCTGATATCTGAACTAGTATGAAGTAAGTTTTGGGCGTCGTCTGTAAATCTGTCAATATCGGGTTGGTGGGCTAAAATCTCTTCTCTTTGTTTCTATAAAAAAATAAAAGGAATGGTTTTTTAAAAGTGCAAACAATTTTTTTTGCCCCTTTTGGTTGAAAAATTTTTTCAAAATATTCATGAAGAGAATTACAAATAACTTAGTGATCAAATTATAAAAATCTTATGAGGCATACAAAATGTCAAAATTGTTTTTTTTTTTTTTTGCTCTACTAAGCTATAAATCTAGTGGCTTCTGACAAGTCCCATCATTATCTTATACTTTTAGAGATGTAATGATTTTGTGCCTTGAGAAATTTGATGTATAGAAGTTAGAGAAAACATAACAACTTAGACAAATAGAAATATTCATTACCTTTAATTTCTCAACATGTGCTTGTTTTTCCCCTACTGTTGATTTCAAATCATAATTTTTAACCTGTTGTTCCATATTCTTCAACCAGGCAGCACAGGAGTCAAATTTAGTCTCAAAATCACCCCATTGTACCATAGCCTGTTCTAGAGAGGTTTCTGACATCTCTATCAGACTAAGATAATCCTGCCATTCTCGTTGAATGTGTTCAATCTCCCGTTTCAAAATCTCCCGACCTTGTGATGAGGTATTTTTGGCAGTCACATCACCAAGTTCTAAAGTATTTTGAAGTTTCTTTTCACCTTCTGGTACGCTGTTAACGAACTCCTGCAAGGAAAACAAAGGTATTCATTATTTTTTGTGCAAAGCAAACAGTTTAATTTGTGACTATGTTTTGCATCAACATAAAACAAAATGAAAGGAAAATTACAGCATAAACCAAAGTTACTGTCTTCCAACACACAATCCATTTTTCTCATCAAAATTGCCTCACTAACCCTAGGCCCTTAAACATCAACCACTATTCACAGTTGCTCTAGATTCTAAACCCTAAAGCTAGTGCTTTCCAGAGTCAGTCTTGTGAAGTTTTCAAAATGGATGAAGCCAACATGGTTGAATTGGATCACTGAAATACAGAATGTTCAAGCCTACCCTCAATCGTTCTCGTTTACTCTGTAGAGACATCTTATCACCAGATCTATCAGTACAGGCAGCTATCTTATCACGGGATGAATTTAACCAATCTTGACAATCTTGATAACTATCTTGATATTGCTGATGATCACGAGCTGATTGATCTAATGTATCTAGGATTGTCTTTGATGTGTCACATAGTTTATTGTACTTCTTCTGTAGTTCAGCTACAAACTTGTTAACACGAGCTGATGGTGTGGAATGCATCAAAGAGTTGGCTTTCTTGGTCAGATTTTCCATCACATATTGTCTTGAAAGGATATCTTGGTGAAGTATCTGGAAACCAAATTAAAACAATAACATATCAAGCAATATCAACCTCATAATCATATAAATCAACCATTGTTATTTTTCGAACAAAAGACTCAAAACAAATTCACTGTGCTCACTTAAGATCAAGAGTTGCTAATAAAATCATAGGCAAGACTCTTGTTGTTTCAAAACTAAAATAGGAACTGCAAAAATGGTCTCCAAATATCCAGCATCATGCTTAATGATAGTCAGATATCAGGATCATACCATATGATTTTCAGATATCTTAATCAAGATATTCAGATATCAAATAAACAATATATCAGATAACTAATTCATGCCCCAGAGTCACAAACATAAAACTAATCGTGATACCTTATGATTCTGCAGCTGAGCTTTCTTATCAGGTAAGGTTGTTTTCAAATCAGCATCTTCTTTTAACTTGACCTCCATATCTATCAGCCATTTGTGGAATTTCTCAGAGTTTTCATCATATGATGACCATTGGTTTAAACTGGAGTCTAGCTTACGATTAGTTTCTGATAATCTATCACAGACATTTTCCCATTGCTCACGTAAAGCTCTGAAATAATTTAACCATTCAATTCTTTTATCTAATGAGCAAATACATAAACATAATACAATTCTAACGACCAATAAATCTGTAACCAAAAGTTACTATGTATTTAAGAATAAGAAATCGAATTACATTCGGCATCATTCAATCAGTCATTTGCAAATGTAAAGTTGAGAAATTTGTCCCAATACTTGACAGAAAACTTCAATCAATTACTGGAAACTTAAAATAAGGGTTCTCTTACAAAACTATATTGCATATAGATTAGGTCTGAAACAAAAATAAATCAATAAATGACAATTCTAAATCTGAATTATTATACCTAAGATCTTGTCTAATAACATCACGACCTTCTGATGATGTTGTAGAATATAGTTTTTCACCAGATTCTATAGTTTGATGTATTTTACTGGCTTCTTGGTCTTTCTCTGCTGATAGTTCCTGAAGTAACAAACAAACATTACTTAAAAAAAATACTGTGGTTTTGTTGTCTAATCAAAGCCAACTGAAAACTTCCATTTAGTTAAGCAGAGTGTACAACTGTATCGAAAGAGATATTGCTCTAACATAAAGTCTAAATTATGCCTAATCGTTGAATCTTCAAAACACGGCTTGTCATTTTCCTTGCCATGAAGTTTTGCTTCCATGTTTAATCTACAACCTGGCAAAATGTCATAATATTTTATAATTTAACCCTTACTGGAACATGGACATCGGAAGATGTAGTCAAATTGTGAAAGCAAAAAATAGATGATAGATTTAAAGCTGAAAAAATGCAAAATTCTAACTTACATGTAATCTTACTAGTCTATCTTCAACATCATGTTTATCGCCAGCTAAATCTGAACAGATATCAGTACGTTTCTGTAGAGTATTCAACCATTCTGCACATTCTTCATAATTACCTTCATATACTTGATGTTCTTCACATAATTCTTCCCACTTACCGATAAGATCCTGAAATAAATAGGTAGAAATTGCAGAGGTGAACTGTGCCATAAACAGTTGAGGCAGGTCAATATGCTCTGCTTAGTGGCTGATAAAAATGCTTATAAATGGACCAAAATCTATATTAAAATTGTTGTTTTGCAAGTAAAATTTTTCTGCAACAAAACGGAAACATAAGAATTAACTTGTCAAAAAGCCAACCTTTAGTTAAAAGAGAAGTATGCCACAAGAATTATTAATAAAACATTTCTTCATTTGTACATATCTGTGAATTTTTAACAACTACATACCTTTAATGTAGATTTAGCTGTATCATATCTAGTGACTAACTGTGTACTATAGTTGACTAATCTACCATCACTACTAGGTATAGTGGCAGCCATTGTCTGTACTTCATCAAACTGATTCTGTTTCTCATTTACATCTCGTAATAAATTCTTCAATTATAACAGAAAATTCTTATCAAATTATATGCCTTCTTACTACTTATATGAATGATTTGAAGAGATGTTTGTTAATGGACATTGTTGGACATAGAGTTGGAGACATTCTTAGATCTTTATAGAAGATTAATATTTTCAGAAAAATTTGAGAATTTTCTGACACAAAGATAGCTTCTCATTTAAACACTTGGCATTCAGATGTTAATGAAAATTTCAACAGAATGATATGAATGAAACTATACCTTAAGTTTTTGCAGTTGATTTTCCTTGTCATTGAGAGTAGATTTATATTCAACAGATTTTATTTCACCTTCCACTTCACGTAGCCATTTATTGAGGTTATCACATGAACCATCATAGTGGTCTACAGCTTGTATAGCATGCATCAAGCCTTGTTGTGTTTCACCCATCCTATCAACAAGGTTCTCCCAATCTTGTGTAAGTGTGTTGAGTTCATGTTGGACAGTAGCCTGACCCTGTGGAGCTGTCGTCTGCATTGCTTTCTCTCCATGGTAGTGTGCATTCTTTACCTTAGCCTCACCATCTTTAAGACTGTTCTTCAAATCCTAAATATAAGAAGACAGTTTTAGTCACTAGTTCTTAAGTCATCAATGTCAAAAATTCAGACACAGCCAAGACTGAAAATATTTTGTAACCTTTACAAAAAAAGTGTTGTAACTGGAAAACAAAAGAATCTGTCAATTAATTACCTCAACTCTATCCAATCTGTTTTGTAGAGATTTCTTATCTCCCCCTACTTCACCACAGACGGCAAGTTTATCATTAGTCACAGACATCCAGTCTCTACATTGCTGAGTAGCATCTTGATACTTTTCATGTTCATCAACGCCATTTTCAAGATTCTTTACACTCTCCTGAAATTATCAAATTTAAACTTAAGCAAACAAGTTTTCTTCCTTTACAGAAGAATGCCATTCAGGATTGCACAGAAGGATTTACTGTCCTTTGGACTCCAGCCATAATTTAAATCATTTCTACAAAACTGGAAAACAAATCAGGTGAAGCAAAACATTACACTTCTTAAATTTCTACAGTCATGAAGAAAAAGAATTACATGTAAACCATTATAATAAAAAATACCAAAAGTCAATATATGGAGGATTCTAAAATGTGTAGGCCTACATACCTTAGCAAAAGAACACAAAGTATTGTATTTATCATTTAGTTTGTTTAATTTAGTCTGAACCTGAGCAGACGACAAAGCTGTTCCCTTATCACTAATACTGTCTATCATTGGTTTATGTGAGAGGATATCTTGGCATCTTGTCTAAAATTAAAGAAAAACATTAAATATTCAGAATGCCATAAGACATGTGCTATAGTATAACTTATGTTTATCAGAGGTCAATATAGATATATGAACCAAAGCTTATCAATTAATCTGATCAGAAGAAAATTCAAAAGTGTGGTGTAAAAAAGTAAAAGGGAACTATGAGAATATATGAGAACTGATACAAATCTATATAAGATGAATGTTGTTGAAATTGAATTTTTCAAACCAAAAGTACCTTCAGATGTTGCAGTTGTGCTTTTTTCTCAGGTAAACTGTTTTTAACATCAGGTTCATGTCCAAGTTGATGTTCTGTTTCTGCTAACCACTGGGTTAGCTGATCATAATTTTCATCAAATGTTGACCATTTCATACGACTGCTATCTAATTCTCGCTGAGTATCATTCAAATTGTCGTTGAATCTATCCCAGGATTCTCTCAATCCTCGTAGCTCATGTCGAACAACATCTCTACCTTCATTGGATGTATTAGGGAAGAGCTTTTCTCCAGATTCCAAAGCTCTGTTGAATCTAGCTAGTCCTTGGTCCTTACTTGCAACAATGTTCTGAAATGGAAGAAATGCCACATGTTAATGATTTCAGATATTATGCAAAGATCCTTGACAACCAGATACCACTTCTCATGTCATCATCAAATTCAGAGAGTCCACAAAGTCAATTCATTACAAACATACCTGTACAAGCTGTAACTTGGCGTTAAGAGATTCCTCATCACCACCTTGTTTCTTACAATCATTCAGTAGTCCATCAGCTGATTCCAACCAAGTCTTAAATTCCTGTTCATTCTCCAGGAACTGTTGATGGTCGTCTATATTTTGTTCACATTTATCAACATTTTCCTACAAAAAAGAGCAAAATATTTTCATCAAATGTCAGTGAATTGTCAATTGATGGTAATTAAGAAGTCTAAAAGACCTCATTCACTATTCTTAACTGCATGTCGCAACCTATGCATCAGCTACTCACTGGAATATGGATTCAAATAATCCTAAAGAGATCAAAGGCAAGAAGTTTGATCAAGAGATTTGTTGTTAAGAAAGGAAAGGATAGAAACTCATAAAATCATATACCTTAATATTATCAGCTAGATTTTTATATCTGGTATATAGTTGGGTAGCATAGGAAGCTGTTCTGTTATCACCTGTTGTTCTAGAAATTTTATAAGCAGCATCTTTTAAATTTTCAAAATCATTCTGATGTGACTGGACTTCATCCAACATATCCTGAAATAGTTAATAAATAGATTCAAATTATGGGTAAAGGAATGTTTGAGGAATCTCATAATAAGTAGCTTTTTTTGGTTTCAATTTCAAAAGAGCTTATGTCTGTAAGAACTTCATTTTACTACATATATTGTTAATCTGAAACAAAAACAATTCTAAAATTAATGGAATCAAAGACATTCAACAGCATATTAAAATGGTTGAAGCAATAATAACTAGCTGAAAACACCATTATGTTATCCAAAAGATCTTTTCATTAGAACATACCTTATAAGCTTCAAGTTGATCCTTTTTACTGGGGGTATCTGGTTTTAATCCAGATTCATTACGTGATCTAGCCTCCATGTCTTTTAACCATTGAGCTAGTTTTTCATATCGACCATCATATTCTGACCATTGGTCAATAGATGTTTCTAGTTTATTTCTGAAAGAACAATCAAAGCTTAAATGTCAGCCAATTTGGAATTTTCATTAGAATTGCTATAATGAATGCAATACCATTTTCAATAGTGTTAAAGTAGTGAGTCTTCTTAAAGGAAGCAGAGCTCAGTAAATTTTAACAATACATACTGTGTTTGTGCAATCTGTCCAATGAGTCCCTGGAATTCTTGTTCCATCTGTTGATTCTGACCCTCTAATTCTAGTAATCTTTCTCTAGGTAAAATAGACCTCAATAATCTCAATTTCTCTTCTGTAGCAGCCTTTCTTTGTTGTCCTTCTGCTAAACCACCATGAAGTTCCTACAAACGCAAATATTAGCATTAATCAAATATTAAGTGTTACAACTGAAATTGGTTACAAATTATTTTGCAGGAGCTAATTGTCCCAAATAGAAGTCAAATGGGGTCCCCAATACACATTAATAAGCTATCTCACATTAATTCACAATCTCTTTAAGTTCCATAAAATGCATCATACCCGGTATCAAACTAACATCTTATGAATCAGAATAATCCTTAGTTAATATTTTGATGAAATAGATTTCAAAAAGACCAAACAAGACACTATTAGAAATATTAACTGACCTTTATGGTGTCTAATTTTGACTCTACACTATATCTATCACCACCTATATCTTCACACCACATGACTTTCTCTTTAGCCGAGTTCAGCCATCTTCCCTCTTGATTCACGGCATCAATATAACGTTGTTCCAATGTTCCTTTCAGAGAATCTTCTATTCTATCAGCACGACCTAGCATTGTTTCAAGTTTCCTACTCAGTGTGTTAGCATCTTTAACTAAACTAGCAGATTCAGCTGAAGGATATTTGGCTTGTAAGGCAGCAGATTTGTCCTGTATGGCTGCTATTCTTCTCTGTTTTTCTAACAACTTTTCTTGTACCTCCTGAAAATCATTATCAGAGAAATTAGACCGGCTGACTGTAGATTCTCATATCAAGATATAAGTTATTAATGGTACTGAGGTCTTTGATGCATATCCAATTAAAAAAAATCCAACATATTCAAAAGAAAAAATTGAAAAAAAAAATTTCAACCGTAATCAAAACAAACAAGAGTGAATGTACAATGTATAAATTTCAAAATTGCAATTCATTAACAAAGTTTAGAAGTCCATAAAATCAAAGCAAAAAGTCATGAAATGAGTTGAGTAGTCCTTAAGTCTCATTCGAGAATGACATGGCAAGATGTCCCTGATATCAGTCAGTGTTTTCCAAGATAATTTTCCTCCAGACACTTGATTTGACCTCTTTTCACCATCAACAAACCATACACAGTACAATTCTATACTTTCCTTAAGAGCTTGATATCTGGCCACAACATCTTCATCATTACCAGATAAATCATCACATTTAGTCATTAATTCTCTCATTTCATTCAGTAATTCACTCTGTTCTTCCATCTCTTTCTCTAACTGTTTCTGTTCATCAGCGAAGGTGGACATGGTGGAGTCTAACTGGTTAGCCAACATTGTGGCATTTTCAAATTTCTCTGTCATTTCACGTTGGGATCTCTCTAATTCAGGTAATGGTTTATTTTTGTTTAATTCTTTCAAGTCAGCTATTTTCTGGGTGATTTCTTCTAGGACTGATTTATGGTATGGTGCTTCTTCCTATTTAAAGAACAAAGTCAGATCAGAAACCGAAACCTTTTTCATGTATTACATCTTCATGTGAAGATTGGGAAATGGTGTCCTACATGTAAATACTAAGAGTGTGCAATGAGGGTAATCTTACATGACAGTCAATCAGTGGTATATTACATCTTCATGTGAAGATTGGGAAATGGTGTCCTACATGTAAATACTAAGAGTGTGCAATGAGGGTAATCTTACATGACAGTCAATCAGTGGTGTTAGAGAGTCAGAGACTGGCAAATATATGACTTCACCTTAATCAGAAGATACTGCCTCCATGACCATACCTTCTTGTCCATTGCAAATCCCTACTTCCCATTCCATATAAAGTCATTTTCTTACCTTGTATTTTGCCAGTTTTGATTCTACACTAGCAGTATCATTGAAATTTTTAATACTGTCTCCCAGTTTATCCATAGTACCATTTAACCAGGAGGCTACTTCTTCACGTCCAGAATTGATCTGATCCCAACAGACCAGTTGAGCTTCTAGATTCTTCTCATGATCTTCAATGATCTGCAAAAAAACAGATACTCTGAAAGTTAGACAAAGCAAAAGGCATTGCAACAGGAAAGAAGAATGGCTCAGCTAACCAAGGTTGTACAGTCTTAGTATTAGGGCTTATTACGCAGCCAGCATCATCAACAAGGATACCAAAAGAGTCATCAGCATCTCCAAACAGTTATAACAACCATCACCATTTAAGTATCACCACAGTTTCACAAAGTTTGATTAAGGAACAAATTCATAACTCAGAACTATCATCAATTTTCAAATTTATTAGCAGACAGCAATTTTGATGACAATACTTACGCCATTAGCTGTCTCCCAATCATGGTTCATGGTGTCCAAATCTTGGACTAATTCTTGGGCATTAAAATTGGGTAATTTTTTCAATTCATCAAACAGTTGTAGACCTTTATTATTCATATGCTCTAGTTGTGTTTGATTAGCTTGAAGTTCAAAACCAGCATTCTGAAAAAAAATATTATTTCAAATGTAGAAGAAAGAAAATATCCAAAGAATAAACAATAATAGGAAGCTGATGTCTGTCCAAAAACAATAATAGACAAAAAAAAAAGTTCTGGACAAAGTTAATTTTCTCTCCGTTTTTTTTTTTTGCAACACCATCCCTATGAACATTTACATCAAAATATCCAACAAAGACAACATAGATACAATGTCCAAAATAAGATTACTGTTTGATAAAGCTACTTACCCTGTGCTGATCAAGTGATTTTTTGACGTCATCAGGATTATTGAAGGCAATGTCTTGTCGTACGACTGGATCAATATCATCTAAAACATGATTCACACCACTCTTGGCATCATTATACTGCATCCATAAATTCACATAGCTAGTATATGTTTGATGTTTATCACCAAGGAGAGACTGAACTCTATCCCAAGCTTCATTGACTTGATTTAATTGAGTCTGGACAATAGGGGATTTGTCTACATCTGCTTGCATGATTTGTCGACCAAGTTCTCTAAACTGTTCATATTCGGGATTCAAGGCATACATTTCATCTCGTACATCCTGAAAGATTGAAAAAATCGCTAACCATACCTCATTGCTATATGATTTCATTAACATAACTGAAGGCTTATGCTTTATTAAGCGTCTGCCTGAATTAAGGATCTAGTTTGAACATAAAATAGATACCAATAGATTATCATCATGTTTTAAAGTTTGATTTGCTAATCAGATTATGAAGCCCACAACTTATAGTTAGTCCACAGGAATTTAATAATGTAAAACCAATACTTGAAAAAAAACTAGTCTTAAGCTTCTGCTTAGGATCGTAACTTACCTCAATTTCACTGACCAGATCCTTCAGACCTTGTAAATCAGATTTATTCACTTTAGCTGAGTTGATCTTCTTCTCCAAGTCACCAAGTTTAGCAATAAGTTGTTTTTTCTTATCTGAGAAGTCATCACTAAGTTGATGAAGCTCACCCAAATGTTCTTCTTTACGTTCTGCTTCATACATGACATTATCACAGGAGTTAGCAATTCCTTGAACTTCAGATCCAAAATGGAGAGATCTTTGTGTAGCTCTGTCCTTAATAGTCATCTTGGCATTAACCATCAGTTCATCCAGGGGCTCTGATTGCTGATTCCAGTTCTGCAGTCCATTTTTGATCATTTCAATTTCACGTTTTATCTGAATCACTTCATCTTCTTTGACATCTGGTGAAGCTAAACGAGCTTGAAGAGCTTTTAATCGTGCCTGGGCTTCTTTTTGCTTATCATTGAAGTTTATCCAGTTTTCACATAGTTGTTCACGTTTCTGTATAGTGTCCTCCATATCTGAATAATTATTTAGCAGACGGTCTAATCTTTCACTCAAAATGGCCGCCTCCTCCTCACTACAGTTCTGCATCATGTCTCTAAATTCCTGTTGAATCATTTGAAGAGTTGGATCTTGTTGGGAGAACTCACTTCGAATTTCCTGAAAGAAATAGTTCCAAGGTATTATCTTACAATTTATTTGGAAAACAACTTCGGCCAAAATCAAGTGCAATCAATCTGTTTATAAAAAATAATATCTTTCTTGGCTCACTTACCCTCAACTTGGCAGAAGTTTCTGGAATTTCATCAGAATAGATGTCACCACCAGCAGCAATCTTTCTCTGCATCTTTTTCATCCAAGCTTCTAATGAATCTGCTTGACTGAATAGATCCCGTCTGTGACTCAAGGCACTATTTAACATCTTCACTCTCTCTAAGGCGTCAGCATTAACGTCTCCCCAAATAGATTTGATCTCTTCCTGTTGAGCTTTAAGATGTTGGAAACCTTCTGTGTTAGCATGAGGTTGGACTTGTTCAAATAATCGTTGTAATGTGTTTAGTCTGGGTTGGTGTCCTCGGATTTCTTCTTGCAGCGACTGAAATTAGTGAAGTGTTTTTAACTAATAGCTTGCCTTGTTTTTAGAAACCTGAATGTTTTTGTGGGAAAATCAGAATAAATATAGCTCAATTCTACGCTCAAATGTGCTTCAATTTCAAAGATCTTTATTTACCATATCTCATATCCAGATATTCTACAAACATCATTTATTCCCGTCTGACTCTTCCTTATTTCCATCAGAAAAGACTGAGATGTATAAATAAATCAACATCCCTGCAGTAACTTACACAGGAATACAAATTGTGAAAATGACACTTACCTTAGCTAGCGCCAACTCGTGTTCTAATACATGAACATCAGAAGAAGACATATTGGGTTCTACAGCTAATCTATTCTGGAATTTCTGGAGTATTTCACGGAAATCTGCAACTTCGTTTTCATAAGCTGTCCAGGCTCCGTACATTTTGTCCAGTTTATGAGTTCGATCATCAGACGTATTGAGTATATTGCCCCATCGTTTCTGTATACCATCTAATTCTCTAGCTACATTAGGCTGCTCTAATAAATACCCTGCTTCTGTGCTCATCTTGTCAAATATTGGTAGATTATTTTCACATTCTTGAAGGAAGCTCTGAAATACCAAATTTCCACAATTTCGTTTAATTTTCCCTCAAATTTAGTAAGTCAACAGATTTTTGAAACAAAGAAATAGAGTTTTTGAATCAGTTTTTTTTATTTTAATACTGACTAAATTGGCAAATGCACTCAAAAAGAGAAATGCTTATATCCTAATGAAAATATGTACATTTACCATATACAATGTATATACATGTATATAATGTACACCATTATTTTGTCTCCCAGAACCCTAGATCCCTCGCATGATGACTTATATATATATAAAAGTTATAAGGACATTTGTTAACAGAATCATACTATATATATTGGTTATCTACTACATAAAGCTATGTGGGATTTTGTATTTTTTCAGTATCAACACTGTCAAACAAATAGCACTGCAGGCAATTAGAAAACAGCTGTACCTGATGAAGATTGTATAGTTCTTGAGCTTCAGCTAAACTGGTACATTTTGGTAATTCTGTGGCACAATATTTCTCTCCTTTTACAATCCATGGAGTCAGTTGTGATTGTAGATTCTGGTATTTCTGCCAGTGAGCAACATTTCCAGACAATGTGGTACTCCTATCTTTAGCTCTGGAACATAAACTTTCCCATTGTCGTCTGACACTGGTTAGTTTAGTTTTTAAGGCACTGGTTTCTCTGGAGCGGAAGTTTTGTGTCAAGCCTCTAGCATCTTTTTCTAATGTTTCCAGGCTAATGTGGTTTTCGTAAACCTCTGTTGATATTTCCTAGAAAAATGAATGAAGAAAAAGACTAAGAGACATCCAAATAACATAAACACATCAAGACATTTTCGTAATGACAAGAAAACATAGTTAAATTTATGAAGAAAAGCATTAGCTTAAGAAAGGTTTATGAAAATATGAAATACAACTAACCTCAGCTTTTTCTAACTTCTGTTCAGGAGAGTCACCTTTATTTTCATAAACTTCATTTAGATTAGACTCACGTTCATTCAACCAATCACAGAAATGATTTAGACGTTTGTAATATTCGGCCCATTTTGAGATGGTTGTTTCTAGATCAGCTAATTTAGCATTGAGTCGTTTCGCTATGTTGTCTAATTTAACATCAATATCAGAAACTTCAGCTTTCAATGGTCCCTGTCTCTCTCTGCTTGCTCCTTCACACAATAAAGAGTTCAGTTTCTGCATTTCACTCAGACTACCTTTCAGTTTGTTTAATGATTTCTGTAGCTCCTGCAAGATGAAAATATAAAGCTATATTATAACTGAGTATAATTGTTAAACGTATTTGTTATATTAGATGAAAAAGAAGCCCAATATCTTTTTAGATTAAAAGGCCAAATTGGCTCAAAACTCACCTTTTTATTATGGAAATCTTTTTCAGCTTGATCTTGACCTGGTGATGCTGGTGGTTTCTCCAACTCAGCCTCCGCATCTTTTAAATATTTCATCAATAATCCACGGTTACCTTCGTACGATTCCCAGTTCTCTACTTGAGCCTGTTAAAATAAAAATTTCTAGCTCAATTGTGGCAAGTACAGCTAGTATCAAACTTCCAGTCCACATACAAATGCTGTATATTATACAGAATCACCAGTAGTCCTTTATATTTTCGAGAAAATGTTACTTTAAATATTTTCTTATCTATGATCTTATCTTACATGTTCATTAAAAGTTTTATCAGTTTGAAAATAGTAAAGATAACAAGTGAATTTTTCTCTTTTCTCTGACTTTTTTCAGAATTAACAATTTTTGAAGAAAATTAGTCAAATTTTAAGGTATTGAAAATTAATTAATGTCATTTGCATAAATTTACATAAATTCATTCTAACCAATATGCAAAATTTAATATCACTTAAGAAAAATTACTTCAATAGTCCTGAAGTCTATATCACAGTTGTATTTCACTCAAACTAAATATGAACTTTGATTTATCTCAACACACGCAATATAGCATTGATTAGATAGTTCTACTAGTACAACATTCCATAACATAGCTGATGTTATAATATTGTGTTTTGGAGTGATCAGATCCAAAATCAATAGTCTCATCTTTAATATGTCAATCATTCTCATAGAGAACTTGTTTATAACAATGACAGAGCAAGATTAAAGACATCATTTCACCAATCTATCATTCTATAAATCAATACAGTCCACAATATCTAGCATGGAACTGAGTCAATTTGTCACAATATGATAATAATAAAGTTCTTCATTGGAGCAGATGATGAAAGTCACTAATAACCAACTTTTAATGACAACAGTGCAGAAATTTTGTATAAAAAAATCAAAATCCACATGCAAGTGAAAAGATTAAACTTTTTTGTCATATTTCTCTAAATTTCAAAAAAGCTTCTTTTAATTCTATAGTAATTTTTTTTTTATGGAGTCAGAAAGAAACTGAACATTCCAAGATTATCTGAACCCTTTTACAGCTGGAGCGACTGGAATAATGACCAATAGTGACCTTGAAAAAATCATTAACAGACTGACTTAGATAACAAGTCATGACCCCCATTTGTCAGATGTAGCCAAATGATATCATGTAAAACACTCTAAACCACTGTGTTACAGAACCCATCACCAAAACACTCATAGCCATTGAAACTTACCCTGAGTTTCTCTTGTTTAGCTTTAGCTAAGTGGTTGGTGTCCTTCCATTTTTTATCAAGATCAGCCACAGCTTTACTAACAAAATCTGGGGCATCTTTATCTTGTTGAAGACGTCTGCCTGCTTCCAAGTCAGCCATGACTCTTGCTTTTTCTTCTTCTAATCTTCTCATTATACCCTAGAATTTAATATCGAAAATTCTCATATATATGAACACCAATTAATTAAAGAATATAATTTAGTAGACCAATCTAAAGAAAAATAACCAAAACATTGAATTTGAAGCAAAGTTTGCTATCAACTACATACAATTGGTCTTTGTAACTCTGCTTACTCTGATTTTCACTCATTATTTGCTTTTATTTCTTTCTATAGAAAGTAGACAAATATCCAACACTGACACAACACAGAATAGTAAGCTCCACCACAAAGCCAGAAAACAGAAATATCATTTTCATCCCCTCATCTGGACCCACTGTTCTGGACCATATGTTTTTTTGTTTTTTTTTTTAAGATGGAGATTGAATTCAAAATTCCAAACAATGTTAAAAATGAACCGAAAGCAAAGAAAAGAGCCTCAGAATGGCAATCAAACATACTGATAATGGTTCTATTAGTTGAGCAAAGAAAATAGACATTAGCAGTTAAATTTTTTTTACAAATACAAATTGCTATATTACATTCATTAATACTTGATCTATCTACAATATTTGTAGATCGTTTATTTTCTAATGGAGTCCTAATTTGCACCAATTTAATTGCTTGACTACAAAATTTAATAATGTTAACACCAAGCATTTTATTGACAAAGGTTGATACTTGACTGTTTAAGTTATCTGATGATCAAGCACAGCTAACATGTTATGGGTTAAATTATAATCATCACATTAAACACCAACAGAAAAGGGTTAAAATACAGTATCCAATTAACATAAAGATTGATAAATCAAAACACTGCAAAATTTAACACCTATAACTCCTGTTCACCAAAATCACACCAGACCTATACTTACATAATCATTCTGCAAAAAATGTATTTTGGACATTAATGAACTCTTGGAACAATCTTATCAAAACCCAAGAATAAATCGAAGGATATATGTATATGGGTAGGGGCAGGTAAATTTCAGTATTTCAAATTAAACTGTTAGGATTCTGACCGCTATGAATAACAAATCAAAATGGCCACTTTTCATATAAGAAGAAATGATTATCCATGCAGAAATGGATTAAACTACAATAAATCAGAAGCCATAATCAAATTTCAACTGTGCATGCACTGAGTTAAGGTCTTGAAAATTCAAATGCTTACCTCATGTTCATTAAGACATTCTTTAGCTTGTTCTAGACTATCAATACAAGGTTGCTCCATGACATGTTTATGGGCATCATCTAACCATCCAAACTGTCTGGATAAATTGTCACGATAATCAAAACTCTTGGTATAAATTGATGATTTTCCTGCTGTTTGGTCCATGGCTGGTTTCAATTTGTCAAATCTGTTGATCAGATTTTGCAGTTTTTCCCGCTCTTTTCGTGCGTCTGCTGTGTTACTATCTTGATTTAATTCATTTAAATTGTCTTCTAACCATTTTGCTTCATCAGCATATTTTGCACGATTTTTCATAGCTTTCTGTAAACAAAAAAAATTGCAATGTATACATGAAAAGACTTGATGCCATAGAAAACTTTCAAAAACATAAATTGTAAAGTTGAGATCACAAAAAATATTCTTAAAAATGCCGGTACCATATTGAGCAAAAATGTTTTCATACCTGGAATTTAGCCAAGGCTTCTCTATATTCTTCACTACTTAAATTCGGTTTCTTCATTTCAGTGATCAGTCCTTCAACTTCCTGTACCCATGTACTAAATTCAGACAATCTAAACACAAAAGGAAACATTCTTTGATCAGAATAAATTCTCAGATCTTTTAACCAGAAGCAAAAAAAAAATCCCAAGAAAATTTACTTAGAATATGACTTTAGAAAATTAAAGAATTGAGTAATACGTCTTACTTTTCTGCACCTTATTGGGCTTATGCAGTATGCAATGAGGGAAATTTTGACAGGACAGTCTGGAAAAAACAAAGATGTTAACCCGGGATTAGATGCAAGCAAGCATCTAACTGACTGAGCTAGTGCAGCTTCGAATATGACTTAAACGCTGCAGGAGATTAAATTAAATCCATTACACGACTATAGATGAACAAGACAAACACAACAGAAACCTAGCCAACATACCTGTTATGATATTCTTTCCAGCGTTCAGGTAGTTGTTTTAATTGTAGATGTATATTACCAACATACGACTGTAACTTATTATACTGATCAACATAATCTTTGTGTCTGTCTACTAATGTAGAATCTGTCTTAGTTAACTTCATTAACATATTGCCTTTCTCTCCCATACTCTCTAAATACTTCTCCATTGTTGGCATCAGTTGGCCATCTTGGAATATTTGCTGAAACGAAAGAACAAATTTGAACTGACAATCCTTGAAATAAAGTTTAGAAATTCCAACATTCTCTATAAAACTTCTCTATAATGTTTAAAAATTCCATAACATCTCTATAATGTTTTAAGATTCTATAACTTCTCTATAATGTTTAAAAATTCTATAACTTCTCTATAATGTTTAAAAATTCTATAACTTCTTTATAACGTTTAAAAATTCTATAACTTCTCTATAATGTTTAAAAATTCTTTAACTTCTCTATAATGTTTAAAAATTCTATAACTTCTCTATAATGTTTAAAAATTCTATAACTTCTCTATAATGTTTAAAATTTCTATAACTTCTCTATAATGTTTAAAAATTCTATAACTTCTCTATAATGTTTAAAAATTCTATAACTTCTCTATAATGTTTAAAAATTCTATAACTTCTCTATTATAAAGTTTAGAAATTCCGATTATGTAATCGTGTTTCAAATAACCAAACTGAAGATTCTAATTTCCAGCAAGATAGATAAAGATGAAGATGTCAAATGAAATAGTTTTTGGAAAGGCCACTAAAACAAGAAATAATTTTGCATATACCTTGTGTTTAAGCAGAGCTTCTTTGACATTTACTCTACTTTGTAGCTGTTCTTGATGCTGTTTCAAGGCTTTTTCTGCTGTTTCCATATTCTGACAGAATTTACCTTCAGGTAAGGAGAACTCCAGATGTAATAATCTTAATGGAGCATGATGTAAAATATTCTGCAAAATATGAATCAAAACATGATAATATGCTGTTCCAGATTTGACTTATCGAGATGTCAAAGCCAAGCAGTGTGTAATAGGTGAAATATTGTTTTAAAAAAATCAGTACCATTGCATACGCTTATTCCTTTTCGATTTATAAATATCAAGCGATCTTGCGCAACTGGTAGCATATAGGGGATTGGCTTTTTTACCATCAAATTGTTTTTCCATATCAGCCCTCTAAATGTTATTCACTGCTAAGAGATTAAGACTTTCTATTCAGGTGAAGAATTATTTCATACCTTATATCTAGCTTCCAATTGTTCCATTTCTAGTTGTAATTGTTGTGAATCAGGTTGAGACAGGGTCTGTAAGATTTGTTTACCAGCTGATAAATATTCCTTTAATGGCTTCTCATCAACACGATCAAAAAATCTCTGAAATGATAATGCAGCAAAACCCTTTTATGACGAACAATTTGTCAGTTCAAAATCTTCCTCTTTTGACTCTGATAGCAGGCAAATTATACTACATATATCTAAGAATTATCTCCCTTCTCATCTTAAATTCAGATGAAATATTACTATTTTCAGATTTTTAGATGTAATTTTACAAGTATATAGCTTCTCTTACTCTGTGTTTACGTATGAGGCTTTCAACATCATCAGAATTTTCTTCCAGTATTGCTTCAGCATTGTCTAACCACTCTTCTAGTTGTGTCTGTTTAACACCTAGCAGACGCCATAATTTCACCTGACTTTCTAACTTCCTTTCCCAATCTTTGGATGATGTTTGAAGATTCTGAAAAAAGCCAAATATCTTAATCATTCTGAATTGCAACTAAATCATTTTGTGAAAATTTATCTGGTTTTCTCGTCGAAAGGACGAAAGCTGTAGATACTGCAAAAAAAAGACAAATATTCAGACATTTTGCAAATCATCTGATTTTTTAGCTATACCTTAATTGATCAATTTGTTTTATCTTAACAACATAATTTTCCACTGTACCTGGAATCTGGTATTGACTGTGTTCATGACATCATCAACTGGTTGAAAGTCCACATTATTTAGTTTAGGTTTAGTACTACAGATTTTATTATAAACCTTATTTTTACTTTCTAGTATTGACTTCTGGTAGATCAACTGTGAGAAAAAAGCCTGAAAACAAAATTTTACCAATTTTATTAAAACAGTTATCATTGAAGACAAAAGACAGTAAATGATTTAAATAGTATCCAGTCTTTTAAAAGATATCCATTAACTACCATTTAAACTAGACATTTAGGAATAGATTCCTTTCTTGGAACACAATTCTTTTCCTAGTCAAGATTGAATTTCTTGTTGCTGCCAGAATACATTACTCATCTATAGCGCCAAAGAAGTGAGTTATAGCCATCTACCAAGGTGCTTGCACAGACCACACAGTTTGGATAATTCAATTCAAAAATTCAGTTTGAAGACAATGGGGCAAAAGGACATCGTGAATATTCAATGTGTCTGTGGCTCCTGACAACTACGTGCCTGTTGTAATCTAGTTATATCTAAATTGATATATTAATACACCTGACTAAAGAATACACCTACCTTATGTTGTTCCAGTGTGGTCTCAGAATCTGCAGCATTTCCCTCCATTTTATGAGATTGAATCAGATCTTCTCCTTCATCTAACCATTTATTTAGATCTATTAAACCTGTTTCTAAACTCTCTACATTAGGTAGAACAGCTTTTAAATATTTCTTTTTATCTGGGATTTGTTTTCTTATTCTTACAATGATTTCTTTTTTAATATTTAAATTCTGTAACATCTCATTAATGACCTCTGGTGGTGTATTTTTGACCAGTGACTGGGCTGTCTTGGTGATTACTTTAAATTCATTTTCAATATCAGGAACTCTTGTACTTAATTCCTGAAAATGAACAGGTTTCCATAATCTTATGACATGTTTTTTGCTTAAAAATAATGTGTCAAAAAACTTAACTTCGTGATATTCTGATATTTATTTGGTATTATTATCAACCACCAATCTTACAACAATAAAGCCAGGAACCATGTTCAAGATAATCAAAAGTTTAAACTGCCAAGAACTTTGATTGGTCATTCTAATTACAAAAAAAATATTAACCGATAAAATGACTTCAGACAATGGCGTAGCCATGCGAAATATCTGAGCGTGCCTGAATTTCTAACCCAGTTATGAGAGTCATGCCTGAAAAACTTGCATTCGGGGCTGAGAGGGGGGCATCTACACCATCTCTGCCACTGATTTCAAATTATAAATAATAAGTTATGATCTTTCTAAGAATGGTGCCACATGACTTACTTCTAATTTAAGAAGATATTCCTTCAAATCAGCATGTATACATGGTACTGGGGACTGTACAATAGAATCAGCATACTCTAACCACTCATGTACAGTACTGTATCCACTAGTATATTCACTACGAGCTTTATCCACTACTTCATTTTGTTGGTAAACAGTAAAATCTTGTTTTAAGACATTGAAATGATTATTTAGATCTTCAATAGTTTGACGTATCTCATCTGCTATTGGTTGTTGACTGGTTCCTATTAAATATTCACCAGATTTATTCAACGTTACAAATTTCTTCTCAATATCAGACGTATCACCGAAGAAATACTGAAACATAAACATAGAGTTGTTCAATTGATTGGTTATCAAATATAACATGGCAACAGAGTTTTCAAAAATTCTGAAATAGATTTCATAAGATACTGTAACTGTAGAAAGGGCTCAAATATTCAAATACTGCTGTAAGAAATAGTAGAAAAAATATTTGTTTAGTAAAAATTGTCTTTAAAATACTGTAACAGATGAAAAAAGTTGATGAAATACTTTAACAGATGAAAAGAGTTGATGAAATACTTAAACAGGTGAAAAAGAGTTGATGAATTACTTAAACAGGTGAAAAGAGTTGATGAATTACTTTAACAGATGAAAAGAGGTCATGAAATACTTTAACAGATGAAAAGAGGTCATGAAATACTTTAACAGATGAAAAGAGTTGATGAAATACTTTTACAGATGAAAAGAGTTCATGAAATACTTTAACAGATGAAAAGAGGTCATGAAATACTTTAACAGATGAAAAGAGTTCATGAAATACTTTAACAGGTGAAAAGAGTTGATGAAATACTTTAACAGATGAAAAGAGTTGATGAAATACTTTAACAGGTGAAAAGAGTTCATGAAATACTGTAACAGATGAAAAGAGTTGATGAAATACTTTAACAGGTGAAAAGAGGTCATGAAATACTGTAACAGATGAAAAGAGTTGATGAAATACTTTAACAGGTGAAAAGAGTTGATGAAATACTTTAACAGATGAAAAGAGGTCATGAAATACTTTAACAGATGAAAAGAGTTGATGAAATACTGTAACAGATGAAAAAGAGGTCATGAAATACTTTAACAGATGAAAAGAGTTGATGAAATACTGTAACAGATGAAAAAGAGTTCATGAAATACTGTAACAGATGAAAAGAGTTGATGAAATACTTTAACAGGTGAAAAGAGGTCATGAAATACTGTAACAGATGAAAAGAGTTGATGAAATACTTTAACAGATGAAAAGAGTTGATGAAATACTTTAACAGATGAAAAGAGGTTATGAAATACTTTAACAGATGAAAAGAGTTGATGAAATACTTTAACAGATGAAAAGAGTTGATGAAATACTTTAACAGATGAAAAGAGTTGATGAAATACTTTAACAGATGAAAAGAGGTCATGAAATACTTTAACAGATGAAAAGAGGTTATGAAATACTCATCATGAAATACTGTAACAGTAGAAAAGAAGTCATGAAATACTGTATAAATGATATAAATAAATACGATAAGTTTTGAAAAAAAATGTCTTTACTTACTGCTCTATTTTCTGCTGAATTTTCTTTCATAACCTTCTCTCCTCCATCCAGCCAGGCAGTTAGAGCATTAACATCAGATGCATAATTCTTCCACATTACTATTTGTTTCTCAAAGGTAGGCTTTAAACCCTGTATTTCTTGTGATAATACTCTCCATTTAGTGCTAATACTCTCAATTTCTTCAGGAATATTTTTCACTTCTGGAGAAACTGAAAATGTAAACGTCATCATTAAGACAATTTTTGTTAGATAATATTTTGAAGGTCTAAAAGCTCATGCATATTTTTTGATTAAGGAATTTGAAAAAAAATAATTTTGTTCTTTTTATAGGTGCAGCAAAAGCAATGTTTTTTTTCAAATATATTTGTGTATAACAAATTCTACAGTCATATATTTTCGTAAACACTGTGGGGGACATTCCATTTTTTGTAAACGTATACATACAACTGGATTTCAAAATAAAGAAATTCATACCAAATACCTTTAGCATCTTTTCTGTAAGTATCCCCTTTCCCTTTCACTTCAGCAAACGTACTGTCATACGTCATAATTAGTTGATTTCCTTGCACTAAATTCTAAAAGAAGAAATTTTGATTTTGAAATGTTTTGAGATACCAACCCAAAACTGTTTCAAGTTATTAAGAGAACTGTTTTTCTTCAGCCTGTTAAAGAGATTTTCAGGTTGAAACTCAAACACTTACCTCATAATCTTTGTACATTTCTTCCACTTCTTCTTGCCAGCCATATTTGACTTTCCATGATTTAATTTTGTCTTCTGTCATTAACATAATTGACCAGACACGCATCTTGGCTCCTTCATAATCTAGTCTTCGTTGTCTGACAGGAGCTAAAGTACATACTCGTTGTAGACGTTTTGCCATCAGATCCATATGAGGTGGATCGAGTTGTTCCCCTTCAAAGTGTCCTGCTTTTTTAACTTGTTCAAAGAATTTCTTCTGGGGCTCCAGATCTTTGAAAAATCTCTGTGAAATGAATTGAAAGGATTTGGTAAAATTTGGTATGAAAGAGATAAAGTGGAGAAATAAGAGTTGTAATTAAAAAATATTTTTGAAAGCAAAAACTATGATCTAAGGTAAGGTGTGGCTACCACAAAGAGTAGTCTCCATGTTCTTACAGTTTTTCTGTTAATATTTTATAGTGTATGTCAAGAGGAATACAAACTAACCTTGTGTTCAGCTAGTAATTCTCCAATATAGCTAGCCATATCTTCAGGGTTGTCAAAGGACTCTTCTGGTTTCTTTAATAAAGTCTCAGCTTCATACAACCAACGTCCAAATTCTCCCAGACGACCTGGGTAGCTCTGGTCTAATTTTAGTAACCATAATCGTGTCAGTTCCTCTGTTTCTTCCCACTTGTCTTGTAATTGTTGCCATTCTTGAGGATTAACTCTCTTGAATTTACCTGTCATGGCTCTATCTTTAAGAGCCAAATAAACTGTCTCTCTTCTGTCTAATTCTGTTTTGAATCCAAGATAGTCCTGAAATTCACAAATGAAAGGAAATCTAGCTTTGCTCTCAATTTGACTGAGGATCTCATTTGAGAACCCTGCTAAATGGTTATGATAAAGAGAATTTCCAAAGCTTAGCTAGTGGATAATTGAAAATTGAAACTTACCAAAAATTCAGAATGTCTGTCTGTAACAGGACCTCTAGTATTAGCTAGAATCTCTGCTGCATCTTTAGATAACCAATTATACAGACTAAAATATGCTGACATCTCTTGATCTGGTGTGTCCATTTTACTTGGTATTCCTTGGAGCTGAAATTGACAAATAGTAACTGAATCATCAACCATTCTTCAGATCTGTTGAAATATTATATCTGGAAATTGATGCTGAATCCCACAGGAGATCTTATGTCAAAATTAATTTTTTTTTTTTTAAAAAGTTGGTTATTAGCAAAAGAAGGACCTTATCCAGAAATGCATGGTAAAGTTTCTTAACTTCAGACAACCTTCTAAAGAGTAAGTTACCACCACCCACTGAGTTTAGAACTAAATCCCTCACCTTTGAATCTCCAGCATCTGGATATTTTTTCAGGAATTGAGCCACATACGTCATAATAGATTTTTCATCTGGCTTAGCTACGTCAACATCTATAAAACACAAATTATACAAATCATTAAACATATCAGGAACAAACTCCATTCAGTTATATCTATTGTTCCATGCAGGCATTTCCATCCTGATTAAGTATAGTTATTGGAATTGTTGCATATCATGGCTACTCTCAACAGCTCTTCATTTTCCTAAAAACACCTAGCTTTGTCATTCTTTTCATCCTCATTAATTTGAATTACCTATATAAGGTTCTGGGGGAGATTGGCCAATATAATGAGAATGAGTCAAGTAAAAGTTTCTCCAGTCATACCTTCAGCATCTAGAAGGCGTGGAATGCCTAATTCAGAATCAGCAATGGAGAAGGCTCGTTCTAAATTAACTCTAGCTGTTTGTTGTTTAACACCTTCCATGTCAATTAAATTAGGGTTAATATTGTGTATCAACTGGTTAAATGCAACACCACTTCTCCAACTTGGTCCAAAATCCTTTACTTCTATACCGTATTTCCTGCAAGATAATAAAAAAATCTCTGCAACTATCAAAATGGTATAGGTGTAAATAAATAAGAAGACTATTATGGATAGACTACTCCTTTCTTTATAAATAATTGTCATTAAAACATAGATGGAGCAAGAAAAGATTCATGTTGAAACATCTCTGTGATCACACTAAGAACACTCTTCATGTCCCAAGAAGAGCATATTTGGCAGTTCCTGAAATAACTGAAGACTGACTTCAATACAGAAACTGTGAGTCACAACTTACTTTCCTAGAACACTGTCAACCCATGCCAATAGATTTTTCTTTGGTAAAGCCATCTTTTTACTAGCAGAAGGCCCTTCTCCTGTTAAATCTTGTACATTTGGCACTTGAGACATTGTCTCTTCAATCTGGAATAAAACAATACAATATGAAATCATCATTAGCAGTAACTTTTAAAGCAGAAATTTCTGTTTGTGCCCAAAGCTCCTGTTCGAAATAACTGTAGAAACTGCAGTGTTGTTAAGAAATTTAGTGCAGACTTAAGAACAAATCATTATCAGCTGTTTTCCAAACCAACTGAGGTGTTACGACCAAGCAGACGACAATCAAGACATCTATTCAAGAGATGCAATCTTATAAAGCATCTTGTGGCAGGTTCATATCAAAATAAGGTGTATTTTCAAACTTGTTGATGTATTTGCAAGCAGTTTGGGGAAAGATCAAACACCAAGATATCTGTACATGCTTACCTGGAAGTAGAGGATAATTGTCCAAATGAGACCCAGGACAATAGCTGGTTTACCATCAGCTATATCAGTAGTGTTAATATTCACCATTTTAATCTTCTTTCCTTCTAGAAAATCTAATGCTTTTTTGATATTACTCAGAAAATGTGGCCGCTTAATATTTTTTCCTCTCTCCATTTTCTGAAACGAAATAAAAAAACTTTTGTAAAGAACAAGTTCCGTTTAAGGGATTTTAGAGATACAAATGCACAACAATGATAGCACTGAGGTTGAAATATTGTCTTGTCTTTAAGGATTTTTGAATTGGATGCTATGTGCTATGTATTATTGAGATGTATCTCAATTTGCTTACAGCTCATAAATATTAACTACAATGAGCAACAATCTTCATATTTCTTCTAAATCAAAAAAGGTCAAGCTTTATTGAATGCAGCAGTTGAGTTTTGGGCATTCCTTGCCCCCAATCAATTGCATTATCATATAAATCACTAAGACTTTGATCAAATATTTATCAGGTTGAAATGGTACACTGGAATAGTTTCTGAACCAAATGGTACCCATTTTAGGCACAACCACAAAGATAATTTCAACCTTAAGACACAAGCAGTTTTTATGTTTTGGTCAACTTAATCAAATGAAGCAGATATGCAGCTTTTCAACATCTTGTTGGGTGTAAGCAGACAGGCTGGTCAAATATTGTAATGTGGCATCGTCAGCTTCTCCGAATGGTATCAGGTCATTGGATGTCATATGACAGATTTAGATTATCTCGACCCATGCCAGGATGGAACATAATATGTGTCTATATTGAATAAGCCAATATGACTTCATAAAAATAAAACAAGCAATTCTGTTTAATTTCAAAAGAGTTCAATCTTTGGAATTTGCTTTGGCCTAAAAAATGGGATTTAATACTAATCTAGGGGAGTCATAAAATCTTATAGGTTATAAAACAGGTATACTATAATCTTTCAAGGATTTCAGGTTGGACATTCAAACGACTAATCCCTTCTCTATTTGATGGCAGGGTGCCAAAATAACGAGATTGCCTATGTTATTTAATATAACATTCAAACACCATAACCAGCCAACAGGATTTGAACTTTAAGTACAAAACAATAAGTGCTGACTTCATGATATATTTATCTGTTTCGATACCATTCAAACTAGGCTATTTATTAAATACTCCAGCCTTTATAATCTCTTCTACCCCATAGTAAGATATTGTATATATCAATATATATATATGTATATAAAACTTGACACCAGACGTGTTTCTGCCTGCTGTTTAGAAAAGAGCGGGAAATTTTATTTATTGGTTATATACTATACTTTATTGATGTTTTGACAGGGTTTGTTTGTCAAGACACTTAGAAACTTTCAGACACAGTTTGATGTTGATAATCGATTTCATATTTCAGTGAATAATTTACATTTCTACCTTCTGACTCAGGAAATTAAGAGCTTAGCTATTGTTTGATGAGCTATTACGTTAAAATTTATCATTAAGTTTCTTTCAGAGGATTACATATGACAAGCTTACTTTGAACTAGAATTTCTATAAACATTGTTTTTGTATAGATATTAGATAAATATTAAAAAAAACTTTGAATGTCCCTAAATTTTGATTTGTTGTATTTGCCAACAATATTCATATATATGAGAAAGCTGAAATAGATAGAATTTTTTTATATTAGTTCAGCACTGCAGTAAGAATTTCTCTATCAAAGCTTGAAATTATATTATTACAATTCTTATGTTGTTTTTCATGGATTTATTGTAATATTCATATTTCATATGAAATATCTAATTTTAAGCATTGTGAAATTTTGTACTAACAGCCATGAAAGAAGATAACAGATTTGAAAAAATTTCGAACAGATAACTGATTGATTGTTTAACAGTAAATCAATTAGTAGATATCTAACAAACTATATCTTTATCAATAGTCAATATTAGTATTCAATAAACTATCGGTACCGTACTTATTAATATTAGTACCGGTACTATGTCTAAGTCACTAATAGTCTGATTTATTGGTGGTTTATCGATAGCCATGTTTCTCTATTGTATGGTACCCTTTATAGCAGCTAATAGTTCCTTTATGAAGGAAAAGCTGTGTACAAAAACATACGAAAACAGATATGATCACTGATATGACTATACAGAAATATGAATTCCACCAATAGACCTTTTATTTAGTCTTTGTGAGATGCAATCTTGGCCTATAGTTGCCATTATACACTGAAATATCTTAAATTGATTGTAAAATTGAAAGCATCAATTTGAGCTGAAACAAATTATACTACCTACTATGGTTCTTATAATTCAACTTAAACCTGGCGTTTTTTACCTCACATTGGCAAAATCTGCTCATACTATGATAGTGACATCATAAAAAGTTTAGTTTTAGTGAAATTGCAAGAACCACAGATGTCCCACTGAAAATTGAATTGTGCAAATCAATGCTTTCAGTGTCTCTGATACACATAAAAAAAAAATTAAAAAACCCTTTTACAATCCCTTTAAAATTATTTGCATGTGTGCTCTGAAAGTTTTATAGTCAAAAAAGTCACTAGGAAGCTTCTAACTGATATATTGCCATAAATCAATTCAGATATATTCAATGTTTCCTGATTTTAATCATTTTAATCATCTTAGTTACTTGACAAATTAAATTACAACCACACGACTGACGTTACATAAAAATTAATTTCAATCTATTAGATTAAATCTGTTATATATTTCTGTCTTGTTACCTCTATTAAATAAGAATTATTTTCAGTCTCGACTTCAATCAATAACTATCGGTAAAATTATACACTTGTATACTTTCAAGAAATCCAATCAATGGACACAATCATTCTCTCAAAATTATCATGATTAATTATATAATAAAAAATCATTTTGATCAGATTATAACTTTCCTGAAATCATTTGAATTACTATATTGTTTGTCTTTGTCATTATTTTTCCATTCAACATGGAATAATCAAACCACAAAACTAAATTCAATTTAGTCCATGAAACGAGATAAGTAAAACTTTAGTCAAAGCTGTACCTGATAAACATCAAAACGTTACATTTTTTCACCAATATATCATCAGCACTATGTTAAAGATTCGTATTTTATAGAGTCAAGAATCAGTTGGCAATGAATAAAGTCATATATTATACTACCTTCAGTTTTAAATATAATTTGCTAGGTTTCATCTTAAATATAAAATATCAATAGGATAATTTACATGGTTATTTTTCTTTAATATAAAATATCAATAGGATAATTTACTTGGTTATAATTTTACGGAAGCGTATTAGGGCCATTCAATTTTTTTTTTTTTAAATTTTCAAGTTAGTATGTTGAATTTTCAAGTTAGTAACTTGAATTTTCAAGTTAGTAACTTGAATTTTCAAGTTAGTATCTTGAATTTTCAAGTTAGTATGTTGAATTTTCAAGCTAGTATGTTGAATTTTCAAGTTAGTATTTTGAATTTTCAAGTTAGTATGTTGAATTTAGTATGTTGAATTTTCAAGTTAGTACGTTGAATTTTCAAGTTAGTATGATGAATTTTCAAGTTAGTAACTTGAATTTTCAAGCAAGTATGTTGAATTTTCAAGTTATTATCTTGAATTTTCAAGTTAGTATCTTGAATTTTCAAGTTAGTATCTTGAATTTAGTAACTTGAATTTTCAAGTTAGTAACTTGAATTTTCAAGTTAATATGTTAAATTTTCAAGTTTGTATCTTGAATTTTCAAGTTAGTATCTCGAATTTTAAAGTTTTTAACTTGAAAATTCAACATACTAACTTGAAAATTCAAAAAAAAAAAAGAAAAATGAATGGCCCTAATACGCTTCCGTACAATTTACTTGGTAATATCTTAAATATAAGATAAACAGGATAATTTACTTGGTTATTTTTCTTTAATATAAGATATCAATAAAGAATAATGTATTTGATTATATTTCTTTAATATAAGATACCAATAATAATAATTTACTAATATATTTCATTATATAAGATATCAATAAAGGATAATGTATTTGGTTATATCAGTTTAAACCTAGATGTCAATAAAGGAAAATCACTTGGTTATATCCCTTTAACTTTCAAGATCAATGAAAGAAAATGCTAAGTGATTAAAACTTGTAAGTTATTTTAAAAGGAATGTTGTCAATGTTTAAGGGGTAGGGTAAAAGGATTGTTTGTTCCTTTCTATACATGAATAATTATAAACTAGTGCTATACAATACAAATATCAATACATTACTAACAATCTAAAGAAAGACATTCAAAGATCAATACTATACTGAACTATTTAAATTGTGTCTCAATGAATAAAGCACATTTTGCTGTATTAAATGAAAAGGCTTGCCTAATCAGATCATTTAAAGCTGATCGTGCTTGTTCTAGATTTAGATTACAGCCTTAAGTAGCATTGCTTTGATATCTCATACCAATTATTCATTGTCAGAGTCCTTTAGCTATTGGAAACAGGGTTGATATTTGGACATAATCCAGTCCCATACCTCAAGCAAACAAATAACTTGACTGTTCCAAAAACTGTTTGAAAATGGGAGATGGTCATATGAATAATTGCTTTCCCAGAAGATAAAACTCAATTTCTGATAGACTACAATCTGTATCACTTTCTAGAACGAAAATCTAGCATCTGACTTGTTACAGATGTTCAATTTCGTTCTGAAAAATGGTGCCAGGGAAAGTAAAAAATATGAGGACTATATCTGTATAGGAGATCAATGTACACCTACCAATGTTTCTCCTGATAATACTTCCAATAAAGATAATAGCACCACACCAGATTTAATATCTTCAAATAAATCATCCACTTTCTCAGGAGGTACATGCTGTAATGAAATCACAAATTATTATTTCTACTAATACTAAATCAAACCTAATACTTCTCTTGTATTCATTTGACATTTGCCATGTTGGCTTCTTGTTCTACATAGTTTCAGCTTAAAGTTTCTTTAACGAACAAATCATTGCCTTGCGAGGGTAGCTATACATTTCAAACTTGAGAGATTCGATCAGGACAATACTACATACAAAACTTACTTGACAGAGGTATGTGTTCATCCAATTTGTAAATGTCTTTTTCTGTACTCTTTCTTGTTCATCTGCAAATAAAAAGTAACATGTTTGAATACAGAGATTACATGAAAAATCTTGGAATACTTCGTATTATTTTCAGATATTTACAGGTATGAATACCTTGATTCAATAATGAAAATGTGCTTTAATTGTTATTTTATTATCCAAAATTATTTGTATGATACTGTGAATAGGAAGATTGCAAATCTGCCCTCAAATTCAAACTCTGCAAGGTGCTAAGGATAAAAACTCAAAATAGTTCTAAAAAGTATGTCTTGAACTATATTCATGACATCAAAGGTAAATTAATATTCTCCTCACTTTAAGTCAATATACTCCACCTTGCTTTATTTTTACTATATTTTACTACATAGTAACCTATTTTGGGAATTTTACTACTAAATTACAAAATACGTAGGATATGTGTACTACAAGAATTAATTACTACATGTGAGTGATATTTGCAAAGGAACGTGTTTATAACAAACTCAACCAAATACTGTTTTGAACTACTTTATGAGCACATTCGTCTGTTATATACATGACAATGACAATTTTTTTTCACTGACTCCACGAGTTGCAAGACATTGTGTTGACATAAAGCAAAAGAAACAAATGTGCCCTTTAATTCATTTTCATTTTACTAGAAACTAATCTAGGGACTAAAAATGATGCAAGTTTTCAGTTGACTTTATATTTTTGATTATACAGACTGATATTCATGTCATTTAAGACCAATTTTATCAATCTGTTATTCAATATCACCAATCAATGATATAGTTACATAATATGCAGATTAGGGTGGTTGAAAAAGTTACTATTAACAAGCAACTAGTCACTATTCAACAGATTAGGCACTGGCACAGGGTTCAAGTTGTGTTTAAATGTGCAGTATGTTTCAGTACACCAGGAGATATCCTCCAAAAAAATATCCCCAGTAATTAGTTGATTAAATAACAAAATAACTTCAACTACATTTTGAGAACAGTGACATATATTTTCCTAAATAAAACTTCAGACACAAAGAATATCTGAATAAAAGAATGAGCTTTAATCTGGTTTTTCAACATTTTTGGGACCAAGTTTAATAAACTACAAGGTCAATAAGTCTAGTGGTATTTAATAGATGATACATCAACACAATCTGGCTTTTTATAAATATTACAGCTCCTACTAATAACTAAACATGATAACCAATCAAAGAGAGAATGAATGAATGAATGAATGAATAAAGTTTTAACAATTGGGGTTTTCTAAATGGCCAAGTACAGTATAATTTAACATCCCATTTCCTTTCAAGACTAAAGTTGTGAAATTAGAATCCTATAATCTTTATGTCTCTCATGGGTGAAGGTATAAAATTTCATATAAACAAATTTCACAGTTGAGTTAACTTCCTTTCTACATTAAGGTCCTATCAACATAAACAGTATATCACAGTTGATCACCAAATAGTAAAACTTACAATGACCTTAACAGTTTACTATGCATATTGATTGAAATAAGAGTTTCAGAAGGTGTTTTCAAGCCTTTGCAAGAATATGAGGGACACAAAATATTTCTTTGCATCATTCTTGATTCCTATTGGACATCTATAATTCCAGTATTGTTTTTTTTTTCAGGTTAACATTTAACCATACTAGCAAACTAAGGTTTCATTGGAATTGGATTGGTAATGCTCTTGTGCCCAAAGCATTTTACAACTTTTGATTGCAGCAGTCACAGAGGCAGAACATATCCACGCTGCTTATGGTGTTACTACTGGTAATTTAAAAAGTTACTGTGTATTTGGAGACTAGGTTTAATTTCAATTATGAGTCTTAAATTTCAATCTATACCTTTCATAATATGTATAAATATAAACTCAAATATAGTAAGAGGTCAAATTACATCTGGGCCCCATGTGGCATTTTCCCTATTATCTGTCCCATTAAAGCTTGATTTCAAAATATTTAGAAACAGAGAGTTTTGGAACCTGTTACTAATTACACCTTTCATTTTGATTAATTTCTTTAACGACCTACAAGAGAAATACATTAAGAAAAGTGCAAAGATTGACAGTTAGTCAATTTCAGACATTAAATATTAGTGTTTATATCAAAAATAAAGGTCTGAAAGTAATTAGCTTGCATGATCAACATGTATATGTAAGATGTATACTTTTCATATGGGACAACTTTTGGTGATCTTAGAGACTTCTGTTTTGATATTGAAAATGTTTCAAAACAACGTCAAATGAAACGAGAACAGAGTTTTACATCCTTCTGTTAACCTGATCAGACTCAAAGACAAGAAATTCATCTCTTTTTCTTACTGTTGAGGAATTTTAACCTTCACAGCTTATATCACATGGGGCCTCAGCTTTTTTTTCTGCTTCACGGAATAGATCCTTCATCAATGTTTGCTGCTAGAACATGGGGAAAGTATCTGGTCATTCAAATGAAACCAAAAACCCCTTTTACATTACAAAATTTATCCATTCTCAGAACGGAACGGTGACTACAAGGGTTAATTGCAACTCCTTCAAGAAGAGTTCCACAGATAACCATGCCGAGAACGCTTATCATTTACACTACAAACAAAGAACCGTTTTATGACCACTTGAAAATGAAAATGGACACATTTTATCGCAGCCTGGTCCGGACCAAGAACGGAACGCTTTATAGCGATCTGGTGTAAATGGTGCTATAATGTATTCACATTCTTATATTCAATTTAAGTCCAGAGACCACTTCACACTTCATGTCAATAATAGACTCTATCAAATTTACAGGAGGCATGTGGCATCATTAAGGAAAACATTATATGACTGTTTTAGTAATAACCCTGATGAAATGGACTGTTTATGTCTAATATTACTCAGTAATTAATAATCAGACTGTTCAGCATCATTAAACAGGAATGGCATAAATTCTTCAAGATAATGGAAATCCTGCAGGGAATTATTTTCTGACAGGAATGATTTTATTTCATGAGTTAGAAGTCCATATATTCAGGTGCACATGTCTAGACTGGAATTCTTACATCAATCTTTGAATTACATTGTTGAAAGGTGAAAGTGGGTAGAAATTCCATGCTCAACCACAAGAGCTCCAGGAAAATAATTTGGTAAAATTAAAATGTCAATACAATGATATTGAAAGTGGGTAGAAATTCCATGCTCAACCACCACAGCTCCAGGAATATAATTTGGTAAAATTAAAATGTCAATACAATGATATTAAAATGTTAAAACAAATAAAATACAAGAACTAATATTTGCTTTTTAAAAAATAATTCAAAATATTCTTAGACTCAAAAGTCCACAGAAGACAGAAGTAGAATCTGTAAAACATGTTAGTACTTGTATGTAAAATTGGTTCAAAAAAGAAAAGTTTAAAGTCTTTCAGTCAATTAAGGACTAAATAACTGTTAATTAAATCAATATTCTTCAGACAGAGAATCTTAATACAAACGATTTTATTGGGAAATGAAGAAGGATTAACCTTTATTAGCACTGTTCTCTAGAATGAGGATGATTTTATCTGTAAGTTAATAGGTGCTTGAATAGTATCATCTTCACACTGTCAAGCCAATTTGAACTATGTCTAATACCTTGACATCATTAGTCACTCTTTTTTAGTATCACAAATGTATGTAAATACAGCAATTCCATTAAATTGTACACTACGGAAAGAGCAATTCTGTTACCATTCAGCAATAATATATACTTTTCTGTCAAGGGCCCTGATTGGATGTATGTTAGTGTCAAATCCAATCAAATCTCAGTATTTACATATGTCCTAATAGAAAAGAAGTGCTTAATGATGTCAAGGTATTTCGCAGTGCCTTGACATTATGGAGATGCAGTCTGATATGATAGCCATATACCTTCCTGGTTGAAACTAGAGTGAACATAAGCTACAATAAAAATTGATTTGTTAATCTGGTACCATTGATAAAACAATGAGAGTAAACCTCTCAATATCACTAAGTATAATATCAAACAGATTAAGTATCATCAGAATTCTCTTCATGTGTTTTTCTGGAGATTTAATCAAGACAATCATCGATATCTAGTGGTCAAGCCTGGACCAATCAATACTTAAGAGGCCAATTGTTGGTACTCTTACATATATTGCCTTTGAACTTCAAGAACGCAACCTGCAATAAAATGCCAAAGTGATAAGGTGCCTTCACACTATATCCATTACCAGTTGAGTACGATTGTGAATAATGAAAGTGGCCATGAGTTCGAATGCAACTCACAACTCAGTTGCATGAGAGTTGCATTTGAATATTATCACTGCTGTTCTTATTCACGACAATACACAACTGCTGGTGCTATTGTGTGAGGGGCCACTTTAGTAAGGGATTTCCCTTGTATTTTGTTGTTACCAATCTTGAGATCTTGTTCAGTAAAAAAGCAATGGAATAATCCACCAAAGTTCCATATGAAAAAATGAGAAGTGATTTCATCCAAGGAAATATCAAAATTTTCATTTTATAATCTTAGACAATTCTCAAGCACTTCAAAAATCAATACATAGATTACAAGTTTCTGTTTTTAACCTGATTCCACAAATTGTTATGAAATGCAATTATGCAATTGACCTTAAAATTGTAATGTTTGTAATTGTAGCACCTGTTTCAGGCCAGACATGAAATGTTTTTATGTCCTATACCTTGACCAAATGAAGTATTGAGATAATGTAACAAATTGTCTGGTAACAATTGGATAAAATTGACTGCAAATTTGAAGCTGTCTGCAAGTGAAATTCTAGTGTTATTGAAAATGTCATCAGTTGTACTAAACAACAGAAGGCAGGAGGCAGAAGGTATTAATTATACAGTAAGCATGGTTGAGCATCCTTATCTGGCAATTTGCACTCTCCAAAATGGATGTTAAACTTACAGGAGCATATTGGCATTATTTATGTCTGCTGCAATTGTTTTAGAGTAGAATATTCAGTAGTTTGACAACAATGGTTGAATGCATTTCCGGCTCTCTATAGTAAAAATTATTTATTTTAATAATTATCATTAATTGAACTTGACCAGAGGCACATCGCCATTCAAACATAGAAAACTTGACCACAGGCACATCTCTAATTCAATGAGAATCAATTGTAATAATAGAATCGATCGTAAAATAGATTATCAGATCTACTTCAGGTAAGCCTGTTTTAATGCTCTCATTACAGCCATTTTAACACCTGCCCCATCTTCCTTACTGATTAACACAATCAATAACTCTACCAATTTCATTTTCTATTATTATTAACATGTAGTCATTAATCTTATATATATAATTAACAATGATCTTCAAATAATTAAATCTATCATCAGCATGGCAATTCAAAAAGACCTTCAACCAGTACTAACATCATAAGCCTCTTTTACACCAGGCCACAAAAAAATGCTCTGTTCTCAGTGTGGACCAAACCATGATCAAATTGACCGTTTACTTGACAATAAATTAAGTGGTCTGAAAACCGTGGTTTGAAATTATTCTTTGAATGCTCATCTTCCAGAAGAAGTTGAATTTAGTCCTTGAAGTCACCCGAAAGTAAACAGCAATAGCACTGAAAAATGACGAAATCATGCTGGAAAAGGTGAGGGCTGCTCTTAGGGCATGCACAGTAAAGCAGTAACTGTTAGCATTACATCAATTTATCAAGACCGTTATCAGATCAGTTCTGAGATCACCTCCTTGAGGTTTGCTTGACGGTTTACAATACACAAAATTCATCTGTTCCGTTCTAAGAACTGTTCTGAGAAAGGATAATTTTTGTAATGTAAAAGGGGTTATAGAGTCAGCAAGTTTACAATGTTCTTGTGATGTTAGTGATTAGCTGCTCATCAGACATCATCTTTATCAACCAACAAGTTCTAAACTTTTAAAGACCTTCATCCAATCAAGTTTGTTATTTCGCTTGCCATTCTAAGCTTTTTTAAAATAATTTTTTCATGATTTTCATCAGTTTAATGCAAAGTTGTTATTCAAACAATATATTGATCACTTAGACTTTTTAATTTTTGATTTCATATTTGATTTGCTTCAGCACACTAGCTTTTCCTAGATCAATAATATCAGATCATCACAAAGGTACCTATCATGCATTCACAGAATGGCATTTGTTTAACAAATGACATTAATAGTCTTGACATGTACTAGAAGATACTATCTGATAGCTATATTTAAATGTTTGATAACATGGAGACAGAATAACATATATCAAACAGAGCAGAACATGATATCGTATCATTTATATCATTATATGTCAGTCTCCTTTTCAATTTGAGAAATCGTTACTTAGTGAAAAAACTATAGAATATAAAAGAGACAGATTAGCAATCCATTTGACCAATCATACCTTAGTCTGATTTGGTCTTCAAATCCATGTATGAGGCGTTTTTGAAGGAATTATGCAATTTTTGTTCATTTGAGTATTTCTGAAGAGTATCTACATATATTCAAGACCCAAATCAACCCCCCAAAAATGGCCTGTCCCTAAAAATAGCAGTTTTGGAGGAAGAGTATCAAAGGGATTTAGTCACCAAACTGATATATATCAATTTGTGAAGAACAGTTTCCATACAATTTAACAAGAGATTTCAAGATGTTCTTAATGTTCTCATTTAGATATTGTCTAAGACAGGGCTTGTATTGTCTTTTAATTTTGTTATTGTAATTTAAAAGAATATTTCAAACAACAGATGTTATAGGTTTCCTGAAAATGTTTACACCATTGCAAGTAGTTAAATGGAAATATTTAAAATAGAAGACAAACCTTTTAACCAGTTAACTCTGTTTGTAAAGGCTCGTTCTTTGGAATTACCTCCTACAGAATCCAAGTATCCTGCCATTATATTAAAAACACTAATCCTAATTTACTAATATTTACACACATGCAGGGGAATATTTCACCATTTCACATTTTTATCATTCCTTATTGCCTAGATCCATTACAAACCAACCAACTTTCTCCATGGAATGCCTCTGACATAACTCAATATTCCAAACTGTCAAAAACTACTTAATTATATTGATTTTCTTTTGATTATCACATTTTCTTATAGATTACCACAGATACATTACTCTCTCCACCTTCAAAACTTATTATAAATATTTATACCAAGTTGATATCTAAACAGCATTCTGACTCTAACTTTCACAGACACCTAGTAACAACTGTTCAACCATGCATGATAGATTTTTTATTCAGAAGTCAATAAGAGAGGGGATCAATAACATAGTAGGAGGCAGAGTCAAGTGAGCAGACGGACACAATTGATTGGATAATTCAGTTAACTTCTCACATCCCTATCGTTTGATTGGTGGACAATTTTTAATTACCTGTCAACCTGATGTTTACATGACCTCCAAATTTTTACGATTTTGCTACTAACTTACTACAGGACCATGAGTGTTAATAGGCCACTTGAACACGTTTAAAAGGTGGTTTTTGTCAACGAACAATGTGTGAGAGATTTGTTTTTCTTTTGTAGTATTACCTATTTCACTTATTAACATTTCTAATGCTATACAAGGACAAAATAGTGGAGTAATGCTCAGTTTTCTTTTCTTTAGACACTTTGTTAGATCATGACTAGGTACTTACGATAATATTTTATATAACTTATAGTAAATTCTTCATTCCACGATACTATTCATATATTAAAAGCTGAATGAAATTTGTTTGTGTACCCCTACAAAGATTTCTGAATTGAAATATTATCAATGATTATGAAAAATACTATGCAAATATTTTCTTGAGTGTAAATTTTGCAGTGTTTTAATACTTTTTTTGAAGATGAAGCGTGTTGCAAAGTGCCTGGCAGATATCCATTTTAGGATATTAAAGTAAATTTCACATTCTGCATACCTGCTGGATTTCTGCTTCCAAAAGTGATAACAACCAATTGATTTGAATTTCTGCATCTTTGTAAGAGATGACATTGTTCTGTTGAAAATTATATGTTATGTATATTACTTAGTTTAGGTCTGAAGACATCACAACAATATCTTTCGAAACTTTCCAAGATGGCCCAAAAATATTGGCCCAGAAAGCTCCACGGAAGGTCACTTGTCGTTTAAGTACAGAACCAGGTATTTGGGACACAAAGGAGTATATTTGAATTAAATTAATGAACATCTTAAAAACAATAAAAATGTTTCCAAAGACCTTTAAAACTTCAAAAGGTATATCGTAGGTTGACAATATGACCCCACAATCAAACAATGAAATATTTGAATATTCATTTACCACAAGGAAATGAACTTTTTTCGCTGATGAAGTTGACCCTCCAGAAACCACTAATTAAATAATGACAGTAGCGTCCCAGGGGATAGCAGCTGGACAAAGAAACATTAAAATTAGATTTCTATAAGCCCATGTATAATATCATTTTAAGTTTATTAACATGATCAAATACAATCAATTTAATTAATAAAGATTTTGACAGTTCTTGATAAGCTGACTGTAAATGGTTTAAACTTTTATAAGGGTTTGCTTGATTGGTGAGTTCATGTGAGAACATGTGAGATTCATGGAATCAACTGGCTGTTCAACAAAATAAGTTTGAACAACCCTAAGAATATAAAAAATAGTAGGTACAGACAGAATTAAAATTGCGGAGAAGTGAATAGAAGGGAAATTTTTTAAAGCGACATAATTTGGTTCCGTCTGTTCGAATGAGGCCAGAACATACAGTACCTGTTCAGAACTCACCAATCGAGCGCTACCATAGATGACATTTTATCAAAACGATTTAAAATTTCGCGACAATGGATGTTCAGACTGTAGATTTTAGATTTTAGAAACTATGAATTTACAAAATCAAATTATTTGCCATGTGAACTAATCAAAAGGATGCTAGATAGACAAAGCCAATTGCAAAGTGGCATCAGGATGAAACTAAATTTTCAGCAATACTTGAAAGCAGCTTATTTGGCTGAAGAATCACTAATAACCAAAAATATATATCTTGTTTTATAATGTGGATTCCTATACAAAGTTTTTTGTCACACCTTTTGTTATTTTCAAGGAAAAATCACATTTTCAAAAAGACTCAAGTTATATGGTAACTAAACAAAAGTTTTCCTAGTAATATTGTTGATCATAAATTGTACCTATTTGAGTACCCATAAACATATCATAATTCTGGGTCATAAAAAAGTCAAGGTTCTGAAGAATTTTACAAGCAAAAGTTATATCTATAGTGAAGGCCACTTCTCACAATCTGACCAGTGTAAAGTATGTAATTTACCACAGTTTATTGAACAACTATTTTAATCTCTACTAACATTAACAATTACAATGTACTGTTTACTTTTTAAGTCGACTGGTTTTTCCTAGGTAACCACACCCTGAATAGTACATAAACCTTCTGTTTAAAGTGAGAAAATGACCATTACTATAGTATCAGGTTCAACTGTGATTGGTTTACAATTTCTTGACTTAGTTTATCTAGGCACCAGTATTAATCTAATCCTTAACCCAGAAAGATCATAGTTCTAATGATGGAAATTATCACCATTTTATATTGGCAAGTTACACAGTACTTAGTTCTATTATATTCAATTGATCATTTGCTATTGAAGGGACACTTTTGATGTTCTGTAGAGGGATATTGTTTTTGATAAGTTGCCTTGATAGTAATACGAAAGACAAATTTCATTCTGAATCATCTTATATAACATGGACATTTTTTATTGTAACATTGAGCTGAGAAACATGCATCTTCACATTGTCAAGCTATTATGAGCAAGTCTAATACTTTGATGTTAATACACTTTGTGCTTTAATTGGATTGTATGCTTGCAAATAAAGCCAAGCAGAGCCCTTGTTTACAGTCTTTATGTTGAAGTCTCTGATTGGCTTTATTTGATAGGATACAAACCAATCAAATCACTGCATTTACAAACTTCTGTGATACAAGAAAATTGCCTAATTATGTCAAGGTATTAGACAAAGTACCTACTGATACATGTACTGCAGAAGGCTGTATCACAATGTATTGATGCATATATATAGAAGAGATCTTTATCACTATGTACTGATATACATATTGCATTTGTATTTCAATGTATTGATACATAGTTTGCAGAAAGCTGCAAATGTATGATACATGCATTTATTCTGTCATGGATAACTCACCTTCATAGTTAGATATATCTTCCAGTCTGTTGAAATATCGACCATATTTACAAACAATATCCATTGAATTCCTAACTCCATAGAAATTGATTATCATAAAGACATTGGAATTAAGGCTATTAGACAATTTCACGTACAGTTAATAAAGAAAAAATTCTTTTCTTGAACCTATCTTTGTAGGCTACAATTGCATTAATGTTACGTTAGAAATATACACTGCTTTGCACTAATCCAAAAGAACCTTCAACCATAACGCCATTGAATCCAATATCATTACTTGTAAAAATAGTCCAGTCAACTACATATAGTATTGAAGTTTCCAATATTTGAAAATCATTAAAAGTCTCCTATAGAATCCATTCAATAGTAAATTAATAATAACAAACTAGTCTTTATTCGTAAACCTGTTTTTGAAATACAAATTCAAACAGTTCAGTTATTGTTCTTGATGGAGACTTCAATTATTGACCACGTTTCTAAGGGAAAGTTAAAAGCACTTCAGAAATTCTAATAGGTTGTAAGGAAGATTAGTATAGTGAAACTGTTCAGTACGGTACAGCAAATAACTGGTTGTTAAGCAGCAATCTGGTATCCAGGAGAACACAATAAATGAACAAAACTAAAGAGGTTTTTATCCACCCACATTATTTTCATTAAAAAAAACTTAGATGATGAAAGAAGTCAATTTGTTCTGCCATTTTAATACAAATCCTTTCATGAAATGTTTAGTGGAATAGAAAATCACTTTTTCTTTGAGTCTTCCCAAACGAGTTGCAGAACAGATTCCTGTACAGACATGGGAATGGTAGTTTTCGATCTCTATCAAAATGTGTTTACAAATATCCAACGCTTGAAGATTACTATCCACATTTGATCAAATGTATAAGATAACACATCTGACCATTTGAAACTGGTTGATTACAAAACAAGTGGAACTGAAGTTTTCAATTAAGAAGACAATTAAAGTGTAGTTCATTCAAACAAGTCTGAATTAAACACTTGTAGAAGATATTCTTCCAATTTATTACAACATCTGAATCCAACTACCTCACAAATATCCTTTTTCCGTGAAATAATTATCAAACAAGTTCAACACTCATAATATTTGCTAATTACCTCTCCATTTTGGAGGACACTATAATTTTAATCTACTCTGTCATATGCCTGCCATTTTATGACTGTTTATGTCAAAATCAACTGGTCAATTTAATTTGACATCAAACAAATCAAAATGTCATATAAACATGATCAATTATTTCCTTCAAACACCTCTGTGCATTTATTTCAACAAATGAGACTACTTAAAAAGGCATCAAGCTATGAAGTAAAGGTTAAGACCTCAGACAGCCACACACCAAACTTCAAAACAATTGGCCAACAGCAGTGTAGATGGACACAAAACAGCAATATCTGATTAGGCTCAAATTTCCCAAAATATGAAACTCATAACCTGTCCGCCTGTATTGAATTAAAAATAAGACACCAAAAACATTTCTGAAAGTCAACAATAATCCATGTTAATACATTAAAAGATTTCCTGGGATATTTTGACTATATCTGTGATCCATGTGTGAAAAACATGAAATGAGGGGTGTCTGAAAAGTTTTAGAATTCAGTTAGACAAATTTCATGCCCTTCTCAATCTTAGATAGTGAAGAAAATAGAAAACAGAGGTAAATAAAGTTGATAAACTCTGGCACTGGATCATGCTTTCCAAAATAAATATGTTGTAGTATTGGTCTACTTGATTAAGTTAGCTTGTAGACCTTGGATAGACCAGGTACATGTCAGACTTCTGTTTGTGATTGAAAAATAACAGCTGTAAACCTGTTGTTTTCAGATGTTAGGAACATGTGTGGGGGATATGAATATTGTTAAACTTCCAACAAAATCATCTGTTCATTGTAGATACTGTATATGAATCTTTTTAGTCAACCCTCATATGTGTTGCATGAAGGCTTATTCATGAAAAAATTAATATTAATATACATGCTAATTAAGATATGCAAAGTCAAAATGATCTTGGGCCTTATTACTATAAAGAATTTCCTAATTTCTTGGGAAAATATTTACTTTACATGATTAAAATTAATTTTTCTAAGGGTTAAGGAAGATATCATGACCCAGCATAAAATAACCAAAATGAGTTTTATGTCAACACTGTATATATTGACATTAGTCATGTGATCTGACAGCAATTAACACCATTTATATTTTACAATAGTTTACAAGGGACTTAAATAGTTTGGAAAGAATAATGCTGATCAGCAATGAAAGTTCAGTTTTCTACCCAATTTTACTTATGAAGGCAAATAATTCAAAACAAAAAGTTTGGTGTCTAGAAATATTGTCACAGTGAAAAGAAAAATCATCATGATTATATGATTATGGACCATCTTATCTAAAAAACAAAAGACACAGAAGTCAGATCATGAGCTACGTGATGCAATGTGCAATGTTGCAAATATTTCTCAATTTAATTCTTTGTTTAAGTTGCTAATGGTTCAAAATCATTCAAGCTCAGATCATGGTGATGACCAAGCCCTATCCAATGATTCTCAGATCTGCATGACTTAAGAGAGAACTAGACACACCATTCTCGAACAAATGTCAAAGTGGCACTTACAGAATTATATGAAGGAAGAGAAATCTAATAATGATGACAAAGAAATGAAAAAAATTGGAATTCATTTCTTTCAATCAAAAAACCATTTCCATGGTTTATAATTGTATGAATTTTTGATCAAACAGAAACATTCTTAGAAAACTTATACAGAATTCAATCATTTGGTTTATTATAAAATTTATCTATATTTATATATTAATCATATTGTTAAGTTAAATAGAAAAATCATAGCTTATAGTCAATAACAAGATATCTGATTGAATTTCCCTCCAAACAATAATCAGGTTTAGACAGGATTGGGATATGGAGGCCTACTGTATAATAGTATATAGAGTAAGTATGGTTGATAAGAAAGATTAGTGTCATAACAGTATCTATATGAATCTATTAAGCTCACATACATAGAAGCCTACATATTATCAACCAATGCAATTTTTTTTTAGTAAAATGGAGAAATAAAATGAAAACAAATTGTTCAGCATTCAAAATGTTTTAAGAAAGAATAACTCAAATCTTGAAATTAGAAATCTAATGCAACCATGTTTTCGAACAGGTATTCTATGAAAAACTTCCCAGAAGAGGGTGTTGAGCGCTTCTTCAGGAATATCATTTTACTCAGGCAACAGTAAGTCAAGTTGCCGTCTGCTACACAATTAGATAATGTGTGTGCTGAATATTCTGAAAAGAAGACTGCTCTCCCAACCACTGCCTCTAGTCCAATATTCAATCAATGTTAGTCTGTCTATTAAAATCATTATTGAGTGTAATGTAATATAAATTCCAACAGTATCAAGTATATGGATCCCGGTATGTTCTGCTACCATAAACAAAATGGCTGTCAATTTGTTTGTGGTCATTTGTGTGAGTCAGTAATGAATAGCCTCCCATTATCTTAGCCATCAGAAAATAATATTCAGGTTCTTTTAATTTAATCAAAATTCATTACATGGAAGCACATAACTCATTGAATTCAAATCCTATAAATAAATAAGGTTACCCCTGCTTTACTCCCCCCACCCTCACAAAAGTATGTAAATAGTTAAAATTGTAGAAGAAATTTTTTGTAAGGGTATTATTTCAATGGTCTACCGTGCGTTGCATTCTTTTTTTTATTATTTCTTTAAACCAATGATGAATTTATTAATTTGCAATCTTATGTAACTGTGATACAATTATATCACATGACAAAAGGAATTTGCATTTTTTCTAAGTTGTAATGACCCTCCAAATGAAATATGAAGTTGACACATAAACAAAGTGAGTATATCATGAATGGAAAAACAGGTTCACAATAGACTGTGAATTTAATATGCGTGAAGAAATGCAGTCTTATGATTTAGAAATTGTACCAAGGTTGCATTTAAGTTTTTATTTCCTTGCAATACAACATTAAAATAAATAGACGAAATCTTGGTACAGAAAATGGGGCCTACATGAAACACATAAATTGAAATCCATTCAGAATCTGCACCAGTACTGCATTTCCATACGCTCTTAAAATTCAACAAATAATGCCTCAAATCAGATATAAAATTACCTGTTTGCAAACTTTTGAACATATGGTGTTGACAACCGTTTCAAAGAATGTTCAAAAAAAATCTGAAGTTGGGTACTTACGTTGTAGATTCTGTATTGTAACTTGTATTCCTTTCCCATTTCTATTCTCACTACTACTATTGCTCATTCGTGATAGTGCAGGACTACCTCTCGGTGACATAGGACTGTCACTTCTGTTGGACCCTGGTAGTGATGTAAAGGATGAGGCAGGGCTCATGCCCCTACCCCAATCTCGTTCAGCCATTTTAAAGCTGTGTATACACTGTGTTTATTTTAATCCCATACTAAACTCTATTTACAATTATAATGTTTGTATCAATTTTCTTGTTCTGTTCACTACATTCTTGTCTTCACTTCTGTATTCTGAAAATATTAATGAAGGATATTAAGTAAGAATTTATGCAAAGAATTCACTCCCTTGTGTGGATGTACCAGCACTTTGCCACACTGAACCAGACTGCCATCTTGTGATAATATTGATAATCAAAGCAATTCACAAATCGGATTAGTTCTCAGATTTGTCTGGCAAGTTCTCCTTTCTGCCCATCCATGAGCAATTTCTAATGTCCAATGTCCACACCTGCAATTTTTTCATGTCAAAGATAGCATGCAAGACTCTCAATTTTGTACAGTGACCTTTTTGTACGATGACACACACAAATCCTTTGAGATTCAGTACAATGTAATGATTTATAATGGATTTTTAAAATTGGAAATTTAAAAAGAATTTCTTGGTTCTGACCAAAAATTTGGTTTTTGATTATCATGCAGCATTAAGAACCTACAGATGTATGTGAAACTCAACCTCTTATTTACATATCGAAACCGATATATTCTATAATGCATTTAAATGATTTTGATACACAAAACCTATAATCAATAGAATTAAAATATAGGCTATATACTTATAACAGATATAGGTAGATATAGGTATAAAAGATTAGCTTTATCATATTACAGTTGGGCTCAAACAATTAAAATACGTAGATATTCATAAATACCTAGAAACCTAAATATTTCCTTAATCCAAATTAAAGTTGGCTGCCTAGCCAAAATAAACTAACACAATGATATTGAGCTTTCCATTTCACTTTTGAGTCCCTGACAAAAGTAATGAAGATTAACAATACCATTCATTATCAAGCTTCACAATACCATGAAGAATTAAGGGCCAACTTTCCAAAAATTGATCTTCTAGCATTTAGTTAGCTTCATACACTTTGTATAATTTATACCATGTAATGTGGGTGTCATACATATCTATTACAACTTCTCTTTAATATAAAGGATTATGTGATTTACGTGTGTTTTAGTATTTCTTAAGACTATTAAAGCACAATAAAGAGCCAAATAAATTCCCGAAAATGCTGACTGTTCCCCTTTAAGTAAACAGCCATGATGGGTGGTCATTATACTTTATTCATAGAAACCAAATATGGTGATTCATGCATATAGGTCTTTTAAAGGACCCGGTACATAATCAAATAAATAGCTTGATGTTTTATAAGTGGTAATTATATATGCCTATTAATAAATAGGAAACCACTTGATGACCTAGTATTTAGTCTTTTATATATCTACCAATAACTTTATAAATCAATACTCTCTCTTCTTACATTAAAATCAAAGGGCTACACAGTTTAAGAGTGAAACAAGCTAAAGCTAATATTTCAAGTATTCATTTTGGTTTTTTTGCAAACCAAACCTCAGATTCAAGGATGGATTTTTGAAATAATATATGGAATCAATTGAACAGGAAATTAGATTGGCAAACAGTAGCTTTAAGTGATCTCATACACATTCCGAACTTGTTTCAATAAAATTTCCTCGTTATAAACAAAGGTCTAATATACACCATAAAAAATGACGTGCCTAGCATTAATTTGAAATCAAAGATACCTACTTGCTTAGAAATCTTCTTGATGAAGCATTCAACAGAAATGATCAAAAAGGTAGCCACAAAAGCTACATTTTTTTAGAATTACCTTGAACTAAAATTATCTCAATGGAAATCCCTTCTTTCAATTCTCTGTAAATACATGTAACCTAGGCCAGGTGGCTGATCTGTTTTGCCCAATTGGCAATAAGTTTCTGCAAAGCAATGGTGTTTGTTTTTAGCATTAAAGCTAAACAGTTCCATTTTGTTTAAAATTTTCTATTATGAGATAATTCCTAACAAAAGGACATAATACAATTTTCACTTAAATATAGTCATGGATGTATTTCATATCCTCTGATATAGTTTACAGTGAAGTCAGTAAGGCAAATTGAACATGCCTGCATATCAAAGATGAACATTTGATGATTCTTATTCTATGCATTGAAGTAAAAGAGGTTAAATCAAACCTTTAATTCACAACCTTCCATAATAAAGCAGGGGACACACAAAGTTTCACTGAGGGCTGAGGGCACAAGAGGAAACAGAAAATCTCCAGTCAGTTGTTTTGCTTAAGACAAAAACAGTTTGTTTGTTGTGAGATTTAATTACTTATATAATTAAACTAGTCTGGAAGGCAACATGAAACTTTAAACCTATATGCTTCCATATTAATTTCCATATCAAAATAACAAGAGCCCATTTTATGCTGCCAACACAATATGTTTCTGATACACAATCCTAATCAGGACAGCAAGTTTTGGAAATAAGGGCTAACTTTCCAAAAATTGAAATTTTAGCATAGCTAGTGCAGTTAGTTAGCTTCATACACTTATGAATAATTTATACCATGTAATGTGGGTGTCATACATAATCTATAACAACTTCTCTTTAATATAAAGATTTTATTGTTAACTCGACCTTGAAGTGTAAAATGACATTTGTTGTTACATGCATGTCAAATATAGATTTATGTTTTCATTTTCAGCAGATTACAGAGAATCTCAAGATAAAGATCAAGATATTGCAATGTCCAACTAGAAGCAGCAGGCTATTTTTCTTTAAAAAGTTTCAGGGTAAAATTTATCACTTTCTTGACAGTGGATGTATGTGCCGATTTTACTTAGAATATCTTGACAAATATTGAAATATCTGTATTATTCTTAAATAAAAATTAATAAAGTTCAACAAAAGCTTGTCCAAAGTATGGCAAAGTCATGGCAAAGTCAGAGCAAAGGTAGTATATTAGTAGACTCCTCCAAATAGAAGTAACATCAGGTGTTTTGAAATGAGTAAGCATGGTCTGCTTTGTGCGACACCTGTCTCTACTATATAAGTCAACATCATCAGATCAATTTATGTCTACGCACTCAAATGATGTTCATAAAGTAAAGATTACTTTTTAACAATTCTGGTTTTTTTGAAGCTGGTGCATAATACATAATCCTTCTTTTCTACATTTTGTAGAACTGGGCCTCTGATATACTTCTTTCTTTAAATCCATGGAATTCAAATATGTTTTCTTATCAATACAATGACAATTTTTGTTACTGATTTGTTGTTATTCAATTACAAGTTATTATGACCCATATGACTTAAATGAATCATTAAACTTATAAAAAAAACTTCTTCAGGAAATATGAAACATTATACAATAGCACTTTATATTCAGGAAGTTCAATATTCTTTTAAGATCAAATTTAATAATTAAAAAGCAAGTTTTAGTACAATCAATTATTTCACTTTTTAAGGCCACAGCCACATAGTTTAGTAATTTGTGAACTCCCTAGAGTAGCTACAGAACAAATTTTGCTACAAATACAATCTTAGTTTCAAATTATAAAAGATAAATTGGTGTGAAACATTTAATAATTAGGTTCTTGTTATTCAGGAAGGTATCAATTTGTTTAGTGACAATCTAATTTAATCTAAATGTGAAGAACTGGACTTATCCTGTATAATACTTTATCTTTTATAAACTCTTTGTATTCTATACATTAAACTTGAGTCTAGTTGAAAAATGAAATGTTCAATTAATACATGTTGGCATCAGCCCTGTCTCCAGGAATGAATTGGTGCTGGGGCTCAGATTTTGTACTCAGAAAATTTGAAGATTTTAAGGCCCAGAGAACTCATTTCAGACAATTTTGAGGCGCCAAAATCTATATCTTTTTGATTTTGTACAAAGACACACTAAATGAATCAATCTCTGCTGAACTGAAGAAGGTTATCCTGAGGCTTAATTCTCACTTGCTGGGGCCCAGCCCCACTGACCCCACCCAAACGACGGGGCTGGTTGGCATACAGTTAAAAGTTTATGACACTCCAAGCCTCAATAGAATATGAAAAAAAAACAGACTGTCCCTTTAAATACTTCATGAAGTACACACTAATGAACATGTTGGATATATTGGACTTCCAGTATAGTGGATGCAAATTAACCAATATTAGTATATCTTTCTTTAAAGAAATTGATCAAAGAGCCTGCTTAATACATAGCTTGAATATTAAAATAGAACTGGAACTAATGAAATAACCACACCCACTACTGACTGGATCATTCTGACTAATATATATAGAACACCATCAGTCTGATAAATCATATAGTTCACTTGAATTACATTTTAATGTAAATACCATATTCTGAGGGAGTATGCTGACCTATGGGCAATTTGACCTTCTGGGCCATTCAGGGCTCTACTACTATTTGACTCTGGTCTATCATAATATGAGAAATTTTCACAAGTCGCTGATGTTAAGGTTATTTAATGAAGATCTATATTTTTGGATTTTAGAAAATGTTAGCTTATAAAATCATTGGGAAATTAAACACTTCATCCGTTCACTAATGTTACAATTTTTATATTTGGCTAAGACTTTAGGATGTTTATTCCATTCAACCATGCATGACTAAACACAAAATTTCTCTTTTTTATAATGATTTAAAGATAGAAATATCATGTTCATGAAGCATCTGTCACAATATTTCCCTATATTTGTGTATTTCATGGGTTATGAGATTATGGAGTGCGCACCTCTTTAAATCCATGCATATTTGTGGCCACACATAATGAACTTGTCAACAGTAGGCATTGATACACGTAACTGATCAATGCAAATCAGTAGGGTATCGTATAAAAAAAATCCAACCCAGCTTTTTCATTGATTAATTCTCTAAATGCCTGGACTTGTTTTTGTAGTGAACTTTCATGACAATGTCAATTATTTTCAATTACAATTCTTGATTATTGAAGAGAATTTGTGTATTGGCCTGATTATTTGATTTTAAAAACAATTTTGTTTTCTTTACTTGAAAAATTACACTATTTTTTTTATAAATTTCCATAGTTCAAGTTTTGAAAATCAAAAATGATATCAATTATTTATAGAGATCTTTTTTATTGGCTTATATATACTAGATTATTTATAAGTCAACCAATGTCAACAACATGTAAAGCATGTAGGGGCTTGTTGAACTTTTTACAAACTTTTTTGTTTTTTAATCCAATGCCCTGATTTAAATTGCAAAACCAAATGTGGGATTTGATAATTATTGTGATATAACTATAGTACTTCATTCTGCCTCATTATTAAATATATGAAACTAATCACTAATTTACTACATTAATGTTCATTATCAGCTGTTTATCATTAATGGTATATCAAGCAGGGCAATATATCTAATAACGCACAGTTGTGATGTAGACTTCAATAAAGGAATATGAAAATATGCATTTTGTATAACAGTTTACTATATGATTACAAAATCACCTACATGGTTATAATACAGGTATTAGAAACTGTTGCATTGGATTGTAAAATATGACTTACAAGGTTTTGTGAATATAAAAATCAAGAATACGAACCTTGTTGTTTAGTATAGGCCTATTCACGTTGTATCGTTAACAACAGCTAAGAATATAAATAGAATATGCGCGGTCAACTCGGAAGTAAGAAACAGGAAATCATTCAATAGACGGCGCTTAAAACTTTCCCGCTTAAATTTGAATTCCAGGAATTATTTTGTCACAGATATCTACAAAAAAGACGATTCTTTGATATAGTTCTATGAGTGGGGGACAAGGCTCGCACCTTACTTGGTTATGGACCAACACACTTTAGAGTATAAATATAATTTCGACGTTAAACCGCCATTGACGACAACGAAGTAGGGAAACCATGAAATGTTGCAACTTCAAAAGTTAACTTTATTCAACACAGGTTAACTCGACTAAGTCCGAATTTCGACCCCTACTGCCAAGTACAAACTTAAACGGATGGAACCCCCATGGAGGATTCATTCAACATATATCCTGCTATATCTATTATATGTCCACTGCTGAGAAATTGTTTTGAATAATAATTATGATATTTCATCAGTATTATTGACAGTAATATCTAATTATGTTACTCTTTTCAAACTTAAAATTTCACGTTTGCTTTACAATTTACTACCGGTATATCCCTTAAAATCAAACCCCATCCCGCAAAAATGGCAAATGCCTTATTCCGTATAGCCTAATGATAAATGCATTAGATGGGAGATAACTCGAGATATATATCTCACTCAATCAGACCAGTTTTAGGTTATTGACACGTTAGTTGCCAACTTTCATTTGTACTTCATTGTATCATTTTGAATAAAATATTTTAGTTAAATGCTCTATATTTGATCTTTATCTCTTTGGGAAGAAGTTCCAGAGAACTCTCTCAAACGCCCCATGGGAGGCTTATGGCCTTTCACAGGTCTGTCTCATTTTGAAACTGAACCACGACAGTTTCAAAAACCCCCACCATATATATTATTTGGTGTGTGATAACCGATTGTGGAGAAGATTGTCTCAATATACATGTAATATTAAAACAATTGAGACTTAATTTCAACTGACAATAATTGTCGCAAATTAAGGAAATTGAAGGTCAATGAAATTGCCTAATTAAATGACTAGACCTATATTATATTCTGACGCACAAAAACAAAAACTTGCTATAGCTGTACATGTAGCTTTGTGGATTAATTTCAAGCACTCCATTTACAGCATTTTTTCCCGGATTTGTCCGTAAGTAAGAAGTAAGTAGTCAGTTTGATCAACATTAACTCTGTATGGAAGTTGTACCAATACTCAAATTTCGACGGTGAGTTGTGAGCTGTGAACACTTTAACTAATGGTATAAGCTTCAAAAAAATGCTCGTTTCTGAGACTAAAGTATGATTGGTCATTTTAAATTGTACCAGGCAATATTGTGAACCTTGAATTTCCTTGTCATGTCGAAGCATAGAGCCTCGTATGGAGATTTCTGGTACCCAAGGTTAACTTGCTTTGATTGTGTCTGTTGTAACAGTCGATTGCACCAGGCAATATTGTGAACCTTGAATTTCCTTGTCATGTCGAAGCATAGAGCCTCGTATGGAGATTTCTGGTACCCAAGGTTAACTTGCTTTGATTGTGTCTGTTGTAACAGTCGATTGCACCAGGCAATATTGTGAACCTTGAATTTCCTTGTCATGTCGAAGCATAGAGCCTCGTATGGAGATTTCTGGTACCCAAGGTTAACTTGCTTTGATTGTGTCTGTTGTAACAGTCGATTGCATGTTGTGGAACCCTTTTGACGGGAACAAACAAACAACAACGGTATAATGAAAAAATTGTTATGGATTACAATTACTATAACTTTATTTGAGCGACGTTTCGACCAGTGTTCTCTGGTCTTTATC